AAGAAAAGGAGTTCAGATTTCATTGCATATTCAGTTGAGGTACCTACTAGACATCCAAGCACTGAATTTGAGAGGGACTTTGGATATGTGAGTCTGGAGCAAATTAAAGCTGGGCTGGATGTGCTCATCTGAGTGTCACCAGCTGGTGAATGGTTTTTAAACCATAGGAAGACATGAGATAATCAAAGGAGTAAATGAGACAGAGAAAAGAAGAGATCAAAAGCCTTTTTGCCATCTAACATGAAGAAGATGGACTAGAAAAGAGAGCGGCAAAGGAGATTGAGAAGGAGCAAGGGGGTCCAGTGCTGAATGCTATGACAACTTAGTGCTGACGGCTGGATTTAGTGTTGCATAGGTCACGGGCACCTGTAACAAGAGTAGTTTTTTAGAGGTGATAGCTACAAAAACTTGACTGTAATGGTTAAGAGAAAATGGAAGGTGAGCAGTTGGAGGCAACAGATACAGACTACTCATTTCTATATTTTATAATTAATGGAGCAAAGCTGATGGAGAAAATAAGATTAGTTTGTTTTGTTGTGTTTTTTAAGGGCTGAAGTAATGATAGGAATGATTTAGGAGACAGGGAAAATGGTAATATAGGAGGAGAGTGTTTTTAAAATTTCTAAAATTGAATATTTCCATGCTTAGGCATGAAACTTTGTCAAAATCTATCCTATATCTGACAAACTTTGCTCATTTATGTGACCTACATTTAATTCTGCAGCTACTGGCCTGGACAGATATAGATCTAATGAGGCTCTAAACAACACTGGAGTAAGTTGGTTAGAATGTAGATTAGATCAACTCTTGCCAAATAGACCAAGTCCACAAGAGCTAATGTACCCTCTTTCCAAAGAGTGTTTTGTTATTGTATGTTTTTTGGCAATTTTCTCATGCAGACACCACCAGACACATCAGATGAAAATTGACAAAAGCAGCTGAAATCCAAAAACCAGATGACATGATGTCATGGAGATTTTTAGGAGTCAGAAATGCTTTTTATCTCTATAAATACACCTTTAGATGGACCATGGGAAATGAATGGTTTCTGGTTGCTGAATAGGAAGACAGAAAGTTATTAAGTCAAATTGAGTGATGAACACGAAAGGAAGCAAAAGTGAGTCCTTGCCTGGACATGGACTTGAACTTATACCCAGGGTAGGACTGAGGAATAGTAATGTCCAAATCAGAGAAAGACAAGTAACTAATGCATAAATGTAGGTTTGGAAGATCAACTTCTTTAAAAGGAAAGGAACTAATATGTACTAATTACTGCCTTGGGTGTCTTTATTCTGTTCTACTGGGAGATGACTTATTGGGATTAAGTGCAATGCTGACCTCCAAAGTAATTCAGAGACCCTCACGTCTTATGTTATTCATTCACCTCCACCCTGGGAGGGACAGGGAGTTAGTTCTTCCAAACCTCAGGCTCCGGCTGGTTTATACCCATGGGGAGCCGTGGAAGGAAGTTGGAGTGAGGTTGTGTTGAGCTGGCTGTGTCCCTCAACTTCAGATCATAACTGCTGTCAAAGTGAGCTCTGTTCTACTCTACTCTTTCTGTATGGTCCTTTTGGTCCTTGGGATGATAATAGTTTCATTACTGCCGGACCTTTTGGGGTTCCCTATTCCTACCCACATCTTTGTAATTAGTCTATTCATAAATACTTGAAAAATGATTCTAAGTGTGTCAGAAACCTGATAGATACAGTGATTAGCATCAGAAATGATGCTAGAAAATAGAAAATTAGAGCTGGGATTTATTTGATCATCTACTTAAAGGTCTAGGAATAACCTCTTTGCTGAGAAAAAAAATAATTCAATTATCAACTATTTAAATGATCTCTGGTGGTGACCTGGGTTAAAGTCCAAAGGGAGGGCAAGGTACTGACTGTATAGAGCTTCAAGAAAACTACAGCACAAATCCCTAGGAATTTGGAATAATTTCTTGACTTGTGCTGATAACTATCTTCCATTTGAAAAGTTGCTCCTGGCTTGCTACTGGTAAAGCCTGAATGCTTGATCATGGTTCTGACATGTATGTGATCCAAACTGCTTATCCTGAGCCTAGAGTTACCTTGTTCAATGAACTATAGAATTGGGCATGCAAACATTATCCATCTTAATATGGAAGTGGTAATTATGAAAGGGGCCCTAGGAGATCAAGAAAGCTCCAAGAACAGAGGACTTATATTAAAATATTACCTGCTCTTTCTGTTTCTCCTTCAACCTACACTAGTGGCCTGTGGGCTGTTCTCCATCAGCTAATGGAGGAGATAAAGGCTCAGGCCTGATATACGGATAGATCTGCATTGAAGGCCTATATCAAAAGGAAATAAATGGTTACTGTGCTGCAGTCTTGTTCACAGAAATCCTGAAAAATAATGTTGAAATAAAGTCCTTCCAGGACTTCATGCTGCACACCAGTTTGTTCACTTTGTTAGGGAAAGACACAGTCTGAGGCACTGATTTTCACTGACTCATAGGTGATTGCAAACAAGTTGGCCTGCAAATTGGGAACTTGAAAAGAATAAGATTGGGAGATTGGTGACAAGGTGCTCTGTGGGAGAGGAATATGGTTGAAACCCTGAGAGTTGAGAAAGAATGGGAAACTCTAAGCACAGGTTGACAAGATGACCATTCTGTGGAGTTAGCTTTTTCTTTGTTCCATTGGTGCTTGCTGAATGGCCTGGTGAATGCCTTGCCATGTGTCTTGTAACTCAAAAGCATCTGGCTTCATAGAACAGAAGAGTGATCTATTAAAGGTGCAGTGACACCTGGAAGACAACAGTTGTAGTGTGGGTGTCCTGTAGGAAGCAATAACCAGCAGCCCACAACCATGCCACGTGAGTCTGAGAACCAAGGAGTGGCAACAGGAGAGTCCCTTCACCATTTCCTCTAATATCTCACTGGAATGTTGGGGGGTTCCCCCGTGACATTTGTTTGAAGATTCTATTGCCCAAGAGAAGAATCCTTTTGTTAAAGGCAGTGAAGCCCCCGAGTAGAAGATCTTGGTCTTTGTACTGTGGTGTGGAAGAATTCAAGCAGGATTCAGGTCTGGTAAGGGAGATAATGATGTTTATTAAAGACTAAGGAGAGGAAAGGAGAGGAGTTTCAAAAGGCCATGGTGGCCATTGTCAGAAAGAGTTTTTCTCTTTTCCAGGTGTTTTTAAAACTCATGCCACCCTATGGGAAGGGAAGAACCTGGTGATTCCTAACCACCAATAATCGATGAGTGGGGAGGCGCCATAACCTATACACATTTGCAGTTGAGAAGAAGACTTAGAGGAAGAGAATATTAAACTTAAAATACAATATTAAGTCATATATGTTTTAAGACTCCTAAACATTTCCTATCTTAGCCTGCCTCACTTTCATTAGGGATTATTGGAATTTGAGCCTACCCTCAGGCCATTGTGGGTTTGTTTGTACCACTGAATGAATAAGCACTGACAGAGGGCTGTGTCCCCATGGTGAATATCCTGATTACCAGTAGGGAACTGAGTTAATGTATCACAGTGAGGACAAAGAAGACTTTGGAACTCAGGGAATACACTAGCTTCATTTCTTACTATTTCTAATTAATGTTAAGTTGTAACCTCACAAGATAAGAACAACCAAGAATCCAACCACTAGGAATGAATATTTGGGGTGTCCCACCAGAAAAAGCACCTCATTCAATGTAAGTCTTTGCAGAGGTAAGGGGGTGGGAGGAAGAGTGACATGGTAATGGAGAAAGCATCTGTGATTTTCAACTTAGGACTCAGGACTAGTATAGAGGTCACAGAATCGCAGCAGCAGTTTGTTACTTTTCTATTTCCTTCTCTGCCTTACTTACAGAATCCTGATAGTGGTTACCGTGCTTGATCAAATTGACATCCCATTGTTTTTTTTTCTGAAGGGACTTTGTGTATCCCTTGTCCTATGGACATAAAGGTTTTACTCAAGTAAGGGACAAGAGTGGAGGGGCTTTTCTATACTCTGCCTATATCTTTACTTTTTATAAAAAAAAACAAAAACAAAAAACAAAACATGCCTCTCAACCTATTCCAATTTGTGCGTGCCTTCTGAACATTGTTGGGATCCTGAGAACATCCTTTCTATGTTCTGGGGACTTTAAAGATGATATCTATTTATTATGCATAGCATCGTAGGTCTTGATTAACATTTTACTATATATCTGGCCTTGTTTGAGGTGTTTCACGTGAATCGATTCCTTTAGTCCTCACAACAGCCTTCCTGGTTAGAATCCTGTCATTCATGCAGATGAAGAAACTGAAGCACAAAATAGTTAAGAATTTTTCCCAATGTCACAAAATTAGAGATTAACCTCTGCCCTATAAGGCTTCTCAAAGAAAGGCGGTGTAGGTATTATTTACTTTGTTTTTACAGATGGCAAACTAAGACTTAGAGAGGTAAAGGGACTGGATAAAGTCAGCCACATAGCCACAAGGAAAGCCCAGCTCTGTCTGACCTTGAAACTAATGTTCATCTCTAACGTTAGGATCACTTTGCTGCTTTACTAATACTTATTTTTGGGTGTCAAATGAGTGGACTGTGAAATGCAGGTTCTATGAAAACAAAACATCCTTTTGAAATTCAAATTTTACTGATGGTCTTGAAAACCCAAACCATCTAACTTAAAAATATTAAGCCTGGTTGTTACCATGGATAATAAGTAACAAATTGGTGAGATTACTTAGCTGAAACTTTTTATTTCTTCCTAATTTTGGAAAAAAAAAGTAAAGAAAAAAGATTAATCTTAACAATAAAATTTAAGCATAACCTAGATTTTACTAGCTGGTTCTTAGATTTAATCCATAAAAAAAAGTCAAGGGCCTATTTTTTATTTTTAAATTTGAAAAAACGGGATGGACCCTGTGAACAGAAATCCTGGGAGAACATTGTTTCTGGCATCCTATTCTTTTGTACATTTGTTAGCTAACATTTGCCCTGACAAAGGAAAAGTAAAATACATTGGTCATTTATCATTTGCAGACTGAGGAAATATGTAAACCAGGCCAGAGGAGAAGAGCCTGAGAAGGGAAACCACACTGGTCAGGGTGCCAGGAACTTCTTTTTTGGTTTTGTAACAGTTTTTTTGTCTTTCACTAGTGAAAGAGGGGACAGTCAAGCTGTTCATCTGCTTATAACAATTCGTAGTGCCCTGCCCTTGGGGACTTCCCCTTTGGAATAGCTCCTCCATCTTCATCTAGCGGATGTTATGGACTTGTGGCTTCCTAACAGTGAGAATGATCTGCTTTTCAGACAATACCTTCCAGTCTGTGTTCTGTTGCTGCTGTTGCTGCTCAGTGCAGAAGCGGTGAGTCTGCTTCCAAGGCCAAGTTCTTGGAAATGAATTAATGCCCAGTGTCATTATTTACTGTCTCTATGTCTCTGCTTTCTCTGTCTGAGAGCCCTCCTCCCATTTTCTCCCCATTGAATGCCCTGTTGACTTAAAGGTGTAAGTCAAATGTCAGGTGGTCTGTGATCCTTGCCCACCCTCCTAAACAAAATTGTTCCTTCCATTATGTTCCCACAGCATATGGCTGTGTTCCACCCTGTGCTCTTCCCAATTTACATGAAAGAATCCTGTTTTAGTTATCTGAGTATCTCTCAGAACTATCAGTGTATCTTATACTTTAATGCCTTATGACAGTGTAGGAATTAAATCCAAGACACCCACCATATTAATGATAATGGCTACAATTAATGACTGCCCTGCATGTCAGACACTAGGCTAAGAGGTTTATACCTATTCACATGAATACCTCTCAGAACCACTTTCGGTATCGTTATAATTCCTTCTTTACAGATGAGAAAATTGAGGCTTATATTGCTTATCCAAAACCACACTATGAAATGGTAGAGTTGGGGTTCAAACTCACGTTCTTAATGACCATACTCTGTCTATTTATAGCAATAGATACTTTCAAATGAGGTAATGTATATAAAATGATAAGCACTTGGCCTGATAAATTTGTCATTAGCATGATTAGAAGTTTATGTCCCTAATATGCATCCGACTCTGTATGGGCATGTGACATGTTCTCTCAACTGTATTTCTTAATAACTCTGCATGCTCTTAGCATCTCTAGTTCCTGGATAAGGAAAATTAAGTCCTGAGAGCTGGGAATTTGTCCAAGGAGATTGAGTTAGGAAGACTTTAAGTAAAAAAAAAAAAACCAAAAAACCAAAAACAGTTGGAAAGATTCCTCATCTCTTCATTTTTGTGTTAATCTAATGATTTGTGAATACCCTTAACGTGTGTAATCATTGGTAACATGATTGCTTTTCAATGTCAGACGAGTAAGAACACAAATAAACCTGAGCAAAGATGAAGAAATTTCAGAAAAATATAATCAGCATCGGAGGCCGTGGTTTGGCGAACAGTCAAGGAAGAAGCAAGTGAGTATCGTTGGAGGGAGAAGTCCATACTCCATGAACTGCCGTGGCCATGCCCAGAACTTAATGTCATGTTTTGCACATAATAAGGGCTCAATAAACAGTGAATGAATGTTCTAGAAGAAAGGAAAGAAAAAAAGACCAGTTAAAATAGCCTCTTCTGCTATACTTAAAGACAGATCTTGAAACTAATCAGCAAATAGGGGGAAAGTGAATGCTGGCTCCTGCCTTGTTAAGGTAAGGATTAAATTCTAGTTTGGTGTTCAGAGAGAGTATCCTTGGGGATGAGACGTGAGCACAAATACAAGCTCACAGTACAGGAAAGGGAAGGACAAAGTGAATCTGTTGCAGAGTAAATCGTCTTTTAAGAATTGTGATGTGCAAAACTCCAATGCAAGGCTGGCAAGAGAACTTGTGATCTCAAAAATGTATAAAACCTTGGGGTATCACTGTACCCCAAAATTGTTTTATTTATTTAAGCGGAGTTGGAGTTTGAACTCAGGGCCTCACGCTTGCACTCTTCCCACTTGAGCCACTCCTCCAGCCCCTGTTTTGTGATGGTTTTTTCGAGATAGGGTCTCATGAACTATTTGCCTGGGCTGGCTTTGAACCGTGATCCTCCTGATCTTTGCCTCCTGAGTAGCTAGGATTACAGGCATGAGTCACCTGTTCCTGGTCAAAAGATGTTTTATAGTTAGACATTTCCTATGTTGATTCCTGTTTTCTGCCTTGCTGTGGCCAGATAGGAGAAATGAGCTAGCAGGTTAATATCCTCCATTCTTTTTTTTAGTACCTCACTAAAACAATAGTTGAATAACCCATTCTTTGGTTTTCATAGTCCAACAGAGGCCGTGTGCAACCATCAAAACGCAAGCCACTGCCTCCCCTCCCACTCTCGGAGCTTGCTGAAGCCAAGATCAAGGTCAAGGCGCTTTATGATTTTCTGCCCCGAGAATCCGGTAATTTAGCACTAAAGAGAGCAGAGGAATACCTGATACTGGAGAAGTGCGATCCTCACTGGTGGAAGGCCAGAGACCGTTTAGGGTAAGACACACAGCTTAGTCCTTATTGAAGTCCTCCTCTCTTTACCACTGAAGACAGAAACACAAACAAGACCCTGGTTGGTGGCTCATGGCCTCTGAGTTAAAACTCTACCTCTGCATGGAACTTGGCTTCCACACCCCCATCTCTAAGAGGGGGTGTTAGAACCCCAGGATCTCAGGTAGAGTCTCAGAACCAGACACCCCTGGCTTCACACTCTGATGCTGCATTGCTACTGGGTGTTCTTGGGCAGGTCACCTACCCCCTCTGAGTTTTTGTTAAATGGAAATAATAATTCCTATTATATAGGTTCTTATTTGTGCTTTCTTTAGCTGGGAGTTTGCATTTGTTTCTGGTCAGGCTGTAAGGTAAGAGTGGAAATAATTATTCGCTTTTACATTTCTACAATGACTAGTTTTTGAAAGTAAACACATGGTAGTTGCTGAATTAAGTTAGAAAAAATACCCTCGGATACAACTCATGTTAGTTGCAATAGATTATTTTTGTTGTTTTTGGTATTTTGTTTTTGAGACAGAGTCCCTCTATGTAGCCCGGGCTGGCCTCCAACTCGAGGTCCTCTTGTCTTTGCCTCAGGAGTGCTGGGATTATAGACATGTAACACCACGCCCAGTTCTACAATAGATTATTGAGGCCTGACTGTAGTCTTAGGTTAAGAAGAATTCTGAGGAATACCTGAGCTCCCTGACACTGTCACTGAATTCTTATACCTGCCAATATTGTTTTAGGTACCTAAGAATTCCAAACAACTCAATTATATCTCTTTTTCCTTAATCACACTTTTCTGGTGATTTGGTTTCTCAACAGTTCTGAGTTTGGGGTCAAAATGTGATAGAGACTTTTCAGGGAAAAAAGAGGCATTAGTATGTTCTGGACTGAATAAAGACCCTCCTCTATAAGACTACTGGAATACCTCAGACTTAAAAAAAAAACTGTATTAACATTTGATTTTGTAGTTAAATGAATAGAGTTTGTAAAAGACTGTCAAAACTCTTTTTCTTTTTTTTTTTTGGTGGTATTTGGACTTGAACTCAGGGCCTCATGGCTTGCTAGATAGGCGTTCTTACCATTCCACTACCCCTGTTTTGTGATGGGTATTTCGAGATAAGTTCTCAAGAACCATTTGCTGGGGACTGGCTTCAAACCTTGATTCTCTTGATCTCTGCCTACTAAGTACTAGGAGTACGGGCATGAGCCACTGGAGCCTGGCTAAAATTGTCAAAATTCTTCTCTGCCACTTCAATCCCAGTCTCTGTCCCCAACGCAAACACCATTGTCCATTTAGTGAATAAATCATCATTCATGATGAGCTTAGATAGTCACATTATAGTATACCGAATTATTTATAGATTTAACTCACCTTTCATGTTTTGTTCTACAACTTGCTTTTTATTTCTCAATAATATATCTTGGAGACATTTTTTCAATTTCAAATGGTATGAAAGTATAGGAAAAGAAAGCCCCCTACTCTGCTGACAGATGTGTAAATTGGTATTTCCCACTTTGAGGGCAATTTGCTGTGTCTACTGAAAGATGCAGGTATTTAGTGATTTAGCAATCCCCCTCTTGGTCTCTATCTTGGAGAGATAATCTTACTTGGGGGCACAAAGGTATGTTCAAGGATTTCTTTATAATATTGCTTATGATAGAGGAGTAAGTCCACTAGAATATCCATGGCGTGGAATACACTGCAGCAACAGAAAAGAGTGAAGCCAATATCTTTGTAATTTCCGGTTTTTAAAACTTAGTCATTATGACATCCAATGCTCATTTTCAATGTCTCCTTTTCCTTTTGAAAATACATTAGGGCTGGGTGTGGTGGCACATACTTGTAATCCTACCACTCAGGAGGTTGAGGTGGGAAAAAGTTTGAGGCCAGCCTGGGCTACATAGTGAGACCATGTTTCTTCAAAACAAAACAAACAAAGAGACCTGACATGGGGCTGGGGTGAGGCTCAGTGGTAGAGCACTTGCCTAGTATGTTTGATCCTAGCACCTCAAAGAGGAAAAAAAAAATCTATCTATCTATCTATCTATCTATCTATCATCTATCATCTATCATCTATATCTATCTATCTATCTATCTATGAAACCTCTTAAGCTGGCCATCTTATAAATTGAGATCTTAGTGTTTCTTGTATAGAGATTTTTGTGGAGTTGTAAATGAAAAATACTTTTTTCTTCTTTTAACAATTGAGTCAATGAAATGAATTTGATCTTCCTCTACATCCTTGGTGTTTTTAAAAGAACTGTTGTCACCATGTCACAAACATGCCAAGCATTTTGCTTTTTGTTTTATCTTTTGTTGTAGGAACGAAGGCTTAATCCCAAGCAACTATGTGACTGAAAACAAACTCACCAATTTAGAAATCTATGAGTAAGTAAGTCTCCTTCAAAGTCTGCTGCATGTTAACCCGTGACAATCGGGGACCATCTGACAGCTTGAAAGTGTAGATACTGGCTTTGGTCTGCAAAAGGAAAAGAAAGTAGCACTTTTGACAGCTTGAGTAATAAGGACTTCTGATGCTTATTGTGGTCAGTTCAGAAACTTCTTTTTCTTAGCTTAAGCTTATTTTTGATTTGTTTTGTATGGCTACTTCTCTGTAGCTCTCTCTCTCTCTTTTTTTTTTAACAGAGTGAAGGCAAAATCTTCTGGCACTTGCTTTACTATAGGTTTTAAATGGAAAATTTACTTTAAAAATAACATTAGATTTTCAATAAGCAGTAAATTGCACTTACTATATAGACAAATTACTATATTTTAACTCAGGTTTTGATATGTTTTAGAAATAACTGAAGAAGCCAGGCACCACTCACATCTATAATCCTAGCTACTTGGGAGGCTAAAATCAGAAGGATCATGATTTGAGGCCAGTTGGGGCAAATATTCACAAGACTCCATCTCCAAAATAACAAGAGCAAAATGAATTGGAGATGTGGCTCAAGAGGTTTTGCAACTATGAAGCCCTAAATTCAAGCCCTAGTCCTACCAAAACAAAACCCAAACAAGAAATAGCTGAAGATAAGAACTAGATGGGCAAAATCACTGAAGTTCTGTCTCCAGTCTGTTTATTACAATTATAGACTAGGAAGGAGGAGATCTTCATCACTCTGTAGACCCTTATTTTTTAAATGAGAAAGTAAAGTTGATAGATTAATTTATAGGTAGAAATTGGTGAGCTGGAACCAGTTCTAAGTGCTTGTTTAAAAAACACCTTAAAATGGTGATTTTATATTATGTGCATTATCGTTCAATAAAAATGCCCCAAACAGAACAAAACAAAATTCATGTGAGCAGTTTGCCTCTAGCTTCAGTGTACTCAGGGCAGGAAGCAGGAAGCAGGAAGCAGTTTACTTCCAGCATGTGCCCTTCCTCCCTTGTACTTGTTTTGCAATCGGCACATGCTTCCAGCAGGGAGCAGTACTAATGTAAGTAGCAGCATTAACATGGAGCTTCTTTTATAAATGATTTGTTATTATTTTTTATTCATATAACATGGAGCTTCTTGAGAACCAGGCACGGACTATAAAGGAAGGAGAGAAACTCGGTTGCTCTTGCTACTAATCTTAGCCTACTCGAAAGCCAGACTCGGTAGATCCCTCCCTAAAATAACTCCAATTCCAGAAACTTTAGTGAATAATGTAGACTTTCTCAGAGTGGAGAAGTAACCCCAAGACACAGAGCACATGTCACATCACTTTACCAGGTTTCTCTGTTAGCTATCTCTTGGTTCTCCCTCCTGTTGCTCTGCTCAGCTCCACCACAAGGTCTCTTCTCTCTTCTTGCCTCCACTCAGACAGCCAGGACCTGAACCCTTTAGTCCTGATCCAAGATTTCAGTCTTCAATAGAACCGAGTCCTCTGGTAGCTACCTATTGTTACTCAGGCCTGTACCAGGGGATGTTGCTACCATCCTCAGCTGAAGCTGGCCAACAAAAACCAGGTCTCTTGAAAGGCCAGGCGGAGATTTGTATGGAAATCTGCTTAAAAACACAGAAAAATAAATCTTTTTTTTCCATACTGTTCTTCAGTTTAGATTGCCCAGAACACTAAGGTGGAGACCTGTGACAATGCATAGCACAGTGCCTGGTGGACACTGGTGATTGGACACCCATGACTCAATGATACTACTTTCCTTCCTTTCATTATTAATTCGTTGTGAATTCCCCTGTGTAGACAAGGCTTGGGCTCTTGCGGCAATGCCTTGCTTATACTGTACACAGTGGGTCAGAGCAATTAAACTCGCCGGGGACGGAACTGCTGTGTCATTTCTTTGGGCCTTCATTTCCATGATTCTTTAAAAATTTTCATTTTAATGACTCCAATTTTGGGAAGACTCACTTGAAAAATAAGACTTATTAAAGTACAGATAGAGTAGTCCTCATTATTAATCACTAAAATATATTGATCACTTACAATGTGCCAAACACTGTTCTAATGACTATACAAAAATTGCTGTCCTAGGGTGCGGTGCTGGACTGTGTGCTTACAAATAGAGCAATTGGGTCCAAATTCCAGGATTGCTGCTGACTGGTGCTTTGATTCTGGGCCACATTGCCTAATGTCTCTGATGACCTAAAACACAGGGACAATGATACCTACCTCATTCAGTGCACAGTGATTGTTCATTACATTACAGTCATCATTAATATTTCTGGGAACCAGAAATAACAACTAGGAAAGGCATGTACAGGTTGGTGTACTTGCCTGGTGCTACAGGTACACAACAGGCCCTAGTTACTTCAGCCCCCGGATCATTTTATTTGGTCTGTTTGTATTTATTATACACTTAGGACGAACCAGATGGTAGCAAGTATGTCATAAAACATGCAGAATCTTTCTTCCTTTATGGATCTTATAGTTTCATGAGGAAACAGGAACTGAACAACTAAACTTAAGAACAAATATATAATGCTATATTGCAGTGTTATAAAGGGAGCATAGGACCCTGAGGGGGAGAACACAATGAAGCGATATGATGTGGAGGGGGGGTTGGGTTGGGGAAGACCTTTCTGAGGAAATGACATAAAACCTAAATATGGTAAGAGGCAGTTAGGGAGAAGATCCTGCAGCTATGAGCACTTCCGATGTCTAAGGAACCTGTGTACATAGAAAGACTATGATCACTCTGGCTTTAAATATAATTTATTGACATTACAGTGTAAAAACTGAGTTTTCAGTAAGCCCTTAAATTAAACACATAAATCTTAATGTGCTACTTTTAAATATAAATAAACAAAAACAATCACCTAAATTCAAACTCAACTTACTAAAGGTCCTTAAATAATCCTATTTATAAGCTCAAGTTAATTAAATGTCCTGAAACATTTAATCTGCATTAATAAACTGAATGCAGTCAACTATCTATTTAGGTACTTCACAGGATTGCCAAGGCAAATTTACAATTGTAACAAGCTGTATGTAAGTCTTTTAAATGATCCTGGAAATCTGATAAATTAAACTTATAAATGTGAGAAATTAAGTTCTTTTAACTGTAGGATTATCATTCAAAAATTTCTCAAATTCTCTTCAACTTCAAATAACAAGTTTAAAATTAATTAAGCATTTGAAATCAGAGACAAAACCTAATGCACTAGATTCTTTTAAAACTATAAGCAATTTAAATAGTAAACACTGATAATTCAGAACTTTACAGAAGTATGAATTTATGTCATTATCTCTACACTGAATCTTTGATATTCCCAGCATTAGAAAGTTGCTTACTAAGTTGGATCTACCTTCTCAGATCTAATTAGGTCTTCAGGTTAAAAAAAAAATCAAGAGTATGATACTGCTACTTATCAATCAGCAACCTGATTGGGCATCGAACTTTATGCCTTCACATTTACAGGGTGTTTCAGCTCAACTGTAGCTGGATGTACTGGATTTCTTTAAATGTCCATCAGAGTTCTCCTATAATGTTCACGTTATTTGGTATTAGTTTTGTAACTGGTACTGTCTAGGTGTAGGAGTTACAGACTTACCCATGAAAAAAAATCTCTTTTAACTTTTAGCATCTGAATTAAATAGATGAAATTCTGAAACACCATGCTCTCAACCTCACCTAAATTATAATTCATTGAATCTCTTTACTGCTTAGTAGAATTCTGCATTATTTTAAAGGACAGTGAATTTATTATATACTTCTATCTGGCTCTTGGATAACTACTTTGAAATCATTCTAATGATATCTACATATAGATAAATTTTTTATTTATATTTAAATTAAAAATAATATTTATATTTAAGAACATATTTACTTATGTTATTTATCACTATAATAAAATGAATACAAAGTGAAAGTTAGTGCCAACGCTATAGCAGGTGAAAAATATTATTTAAAAACAGAATTTATGTTAACTTTTCCCTTTTTCAGCATTGTTAGATAGTCTTGGTTTTTCTCAGATTCAACTTATTTTGGTGAACTATAATCACGATCCTCTTTTTAACAACATTTTACATCCTAACCGGTGGGTACCCCTTTATGCTGGTTGAAAGAATTCACTTATTTTGAAGAAATTTCTTTCTACACAAGAGGTCTCTGACTCATCTTGAAATTCTTTCCTCCCAAATTAATGGTCATTAAAAAGTCCTGAATGATGTTCACTGTGTAACACTGTAGTTACTCTCATTTCCGCTAGTGACCAGTTGAATTTCTTTTCTAGAATCATCTGTAATCATCTCATACTCTCTGTGGTTTATCATTTTAAATTTTCATTTTCCATTTGATGACATCAATATTATAGATAACCGACCATTCCAATTTAGCCACTGCTCCCCACTGTGGAATGTTAGCGGAAATTCACATGTTGCAATGGGCTCTATCCTGTCACATAGAGGACTTTCAGTTAGCCACCATCTGACCACCCACGGTGACTTGGTGCATGGGTTTATATATACATACATACACATATATGTATATATACATGTTTCCTTCCACTCTACAAAAAACAAACAAAAAACCCCCAGTATTTCAGGTAATACTAGATTAAATTTAAAATTATTGTTAAAAAATCTTGTTTTGAAATGAAAGTTTTCTCAATATTTTTGCATTTGTTTTTCTACTATCTTCCTCTCTTTTCTATATAACATGCTTACTGACTAGGTATGGTCATATCAAACTATAAACTTATAATATTATTTAATTATACTTACTATGTGTACTTCCAATATTCTAGTCACTTGATGACATGTTTAATACAGAGGAAATAGAATAATCAAAGGCATAAAAGAGCTTGGTGAATTTGAGGAAGAAAGAAATCCCAATGTGGCCAAAGCCCAGTAAGTGAGGGGAGAGCTGGGCAGAGATGAGGCAGGAGAGGGTGTTTAGTCGTCCAGATACTGTATAAACTACTAACTCCACGAGGAGGTAATGTACCAGGGGATTCTGGTAAGTTAGAATGAATTTTAATTTTAGAAGGGGAAATAGTACCTCTAAAAGCATGCAAATAGGAAATTCCTGACAGGAAATCAAAAATGGTTATTTTTTCAAGCTCGGTGTTTGGTGAAGACAATGTCTTCTTAACCACACACATTTTATGGAATTTTACATGACATTACATCATTCCAAATTACCTGCACAATCTAAGTGTGCATCAGAAAGCTGAATTAGCTATGATAGAAAGAACTAGATGTTGGCTTAAAATTAGTAAAATTGTTAAGCTTAGCTTGATGAATTAACCTATCGTAGTACATTGTTATTTATCAGAAATTTAAAAGTCATAACTTTCTAAGGTCAATTCTGAAGACAGACTGTTAAAGTGAAGGAAATATGGTAGGTTTCTTTATCCTGAAAAAGTAAGTGTAAAATTTAAGAATCATTTTTGTTGTTTTACAGGTGGTACCATAAAAACATTACCAGAAATCAGGCAGAACGTCTGTTGAGACAAGAGGTAATTCAATGTATCCATGAGTAAATCTGAAAATTTGCAAAATTTTGGAGGGAGGTACATTAAGAAGACTTTAATCAACTAAAAAGGAGTATTACTTCTTATTTTTGTAAATCTAAAATATTGTCGTAACTTCATCCCTACTACAGTTTCTGACATTAGATCTTGTTTTCCATTGACCTGCATCATAATTTCAGAAACATGTTGCTCCTGAAATATTTCAACTCCAACATCCTGAGCTTTCTTAATTTATTCAACATGCACTCTGTCAGTAGAGACTGTATTTGACTTGCCCATAAAATCTTTGCAATCAAAGGCAATTACGTATACTCTTTAACAAAGAACTTAGCTTAGACTCACTGAAAATACAAGTAGAGACAAATACATGGGGTCACCATTTCTTTGTTCTTTGGAAACAAAGGGGTGAGTCAATAGCCAAAATATCAAACTCAAAACAAACTTACTCATTTAGGTCAAACCAAAACAAAACTGCACAGAGTTTAAATTTCCAGCTGTCAGTCAATATTAACTGTGGGGAAATGCAGAGTCAAAACCAGAAACTAAGTACTTAGTACACAGTGTTATGTCGTCATTGTGTACTACTGTTGGATGTTGAGGACATCTGGAAATGTGAATGAGAATTACTTCTGTATCTAAACACTCAATGCCAGTAATGGCTCAGGATGCAAGGAAACCCCCTTCATAGTAGAGCGACACATGTGGAGGAAGAGGGAAAAAAGACTCCGTCTCAGGTGATGGGGGGCGTGGAGGTTGGACAGGACTAGCTCCACTTGGTTAGAGGAAGTTGAGTGTGGCAGCAAACATGGTGTCTGTCTGGCATGTGTGGTCACAAAGTAATACTAGTAGATCACACATGGGAAATTCAGATGCTATGACAGGCAGGCAGAATCAAGGAGAGTCCAAGAGAAGGTCCTCAGTAAGCCAGTTGGTTATCGTTCACACAGCCCAAATCACAGGACTGTGTACATCCAGCAGGAGATTTTCTGTGCCTGGAAGGAAGTCAGACAAGGCAGAGATCTCAGATCCCTACAGAGTCTGGAAAGGGAATTATGTAACAACCCCACATGTTCACCGCACAGATGGAACAAATATTAAAATTTGGCCATGACATTTCTAAAAGAACGAAAGATTTACAGACACAGTGGAGGCCCACTCATCTTTCTTTGTTATCCTCCATGCCCCAGAGGCAAGCACCATAGATGGGTGAGCTCTCATTTTGTCCATGTGTTTATATTTTTCTCATCTATGTATGTGCATAAGCAAACTGCAGTGTTGTTTCATGTTTGACATTCAACATGGAGGAGGTCATATGTATGTTGATTTTTATTAACATTAGGTTTTCACAATTCATTATTATGGTTACATGTGGATCAATTACATTAACTACGTAGTATTTTGTTATCAAAGTATGTACAAATGTATCCAATGCTGATAGACTTTCCAACTGTTCCTATTACAAACAGCAATGCAGTTTGTAAATGTCATCTTGTACTCAAGGGTGAAGGAGTTATTCAGTCATAGGGTGTGTGCAGATCTAACATCACTAGGTATTTTCAAGCCTTAGTACAGAGTATTTGTGCTAATTTTCTCTTTCTTTCTTTCTTTTTCTTTCCTTTCTTTTCTTTCTTTTGCAGTACTAAGGCTTGAACTCAGGGCCTACACCTTGAGCTACTCCACCAGCCCTATTTTTTTGTGAAGGGTTTTTCAAGATAGGGTCTTGCTAACTGTTTGCCCAAACCATGAGCTTCAAACCATGAGCCTCTGAGTAGCTAGGATTACAGGCGTGAGCCACCAGCACCAGCTTAATTTACATTCTTACAGAAAGGAGATAAACTGATTCCCTACATTCTTACCTGTAGTTGGTAGTTGCACATTTTTCTTTTGGTAGGAAATTGTATCTATTTGATTTCATTCATGTGGTGCTGGGGATCAAACCCAGGGCCTCGCACATACTAGGCAAACACTCTCCACTGAGTCACATCCTCAGCCCCGGAACCTGTACATATTTTTAAAGATGTACATTTCCTTGATTATAGTAACGCCCATTGGCCAGCTGGGGTTATTGTCCTGTGGCATGGCCATTTACATGCTTTGTTTATTGTTCTATAGCATGTTTGCCTTTTAAACTGATAAGCCTTAAAATCTTTCTCTAATTTATATATTTTCTGATTTTTATTTTTTAAAAAGTGCTTGGATAAAGCATTTAAAATATATTTTTCTGGCCAGCTGTAGTGGCTCAAGCCTATAATTCTAGCTATTTGGGAGGTAAAGATTGGGAGGGTTGTGGTTCCGAAGCCAACCACGCATAAATGAAAGACCTTAAGGATCAGAGGAAAGTATGGCTTTAATCTTTACGGATATTAAAATGTCCTCCATAGGGGTTGATGAACTTACAGACCCATCAGTCACATAGCGGTCTCTGCTTCTCTCCCACCCTTTCCAGATAGCACTTCATATGAAACATCTGGATCTTTCCTGTCTGACACCTCATCTCGGTGTGGATTTGAATTTCTCTCTTTCTCGTTTCTTTTTTTTTTTTTTAACTTAAATTTTACTTCTTTTAATTTGAACTTATCTTCTAGGGAGGTTGAGCATTTTTCAGACATTAAATTTTATATATTTGTATTTACTTTCTTATAAACTTCTGTTTCTGTCCTTTGCATAGTTTTCTACTGGGTTTTTGATGTTTTTCTCAGAATTTGTAGGGCCTTTGTAGCTATATTAAGGAAATTAATCCTTTATGATATGTGGCAATATTTCCTACAGTTTTTCAATTATCTTATGGTTTCCTGGCATAAATAGTATTTGACATTTTTATGTTTGAATTTATCAGCAGAGTTTTTGAAGGGTTGAGCAAGTGTGTCAGGGCAGAATTGTCTCCCTGCCCCTCCAAGGTTAAAAGAAAACTCGTGTTTTTCTTGGTTGAAAAAACTTCTTGTTTCTTGTACTCAGGTGACTTGTTTTTTATACATTTATATCTTTGATACATTCATAATTTTTCTTGGTGTAGAGTGAGGTATGGATCTGGCTTTATTTCTAGATGGTTACCAAATGTCCATCTTTCTTGCATTTATTTACATTGCCTCCTTCATCATAAAGACATTCCGATTTTGGATTATATCTGAACATTCTACTTGGTTTCATCACCAGCCTGTCCATTCATGTGCTGCACCACACAGTTTTAAGTACTGAGACTTTTCTGATGTGTCTAGTTTCCTTCATTATTCTCAAAGTCTCATTAAAAACAAAAATAAAAATAAAAACCCCACCTGTTGGTTGTACTAAATAGAAGATTTTTGGGTGGAAAAATTTTCAAGCCCTGGAAGTCAGTGGGATTTAGGAACCAGTTTGTTCCAGGACCCAGATCTGATTACTCATAAATAAAATAAAATAAAATAAAATAAATAATAAAATAAAAGCCATATCTTAAGCAAAAATAACCTTAGGTGGCTTAAACTCCGAAAGGGAACAGCAAGCACTTTTTTATTGGGCACATAGGTCTTACAAATTTGTTTTTAAGTTTATTTTAAGGTACTTCAGCTTTCACTTTGCCATAATGAATGTCTTCTTGTTTTTATTTATGAAAGCATTTGAGTTGTATGAATTAATTTTGTAGTTGATAACTTTGGTGAATTTTCGTATTTTTCGTAATAGGATTTTCAGTTCTTCTGAGTTTCAGGTGTATAATCTGAAGCAAGCAGGCATGATTTTGACTCTGCTTTCATTATGTTAAAGCAGGACTTGAGTTCTTGCCCCTCGTTGAATTGTACTGGCTAGCGTCCCAAGAACAATACTAAATACAGGCTGACGGTGGTCCTTGATTTCATTTGGAGTGATTTCCACAGAAACATGTACTGGACTTGACACTAAAGTAAATAATCGCTATTATATTAAGGAAGTGCACATACAGTTCTATTTTACTGAGAAGTTTTGAAAACTGACACCAGAAGTTGAAATTTGTCAAGTGCCTTTTCAATGCCTCTAGCCATACCCCTGGGCTTTTTCTCCTCAGATTTGTTAATATAATGAAATTTACAAGGCTTTTACATCCCTGTACATAATTCTTCTCGGTTTTGGTGTGTTATTCTTTTGTACTATGAGATTTGGTTCTTTGACGATTTGTTTTCTCTTTTGTGCAGTCTTGGCTGGGTTACTGGTTTTGATATTAAGACCACTTTAAACCAGGCACAGTGGTTACATGTATAATCCTCGCTGCTCAGGAGCTGGAGATCGGAAGGATTTTGGTTCAAGGATAACCAGGGCATAAATTCAAGACCCTATGTAAAAAATAACCAAAACAAAAAGAGCTAGGATGTAGTTTGAGTGGCAGAGCACCTGTGAGCAAACACAAGGCCCTGAGTTCAAATCCCAGTACTGTCAAAAATAATTACTTTATTCATAAATTTATAAGTATTTTTTCTTTTCCTGTGCTCAGAGGCTGAATAGTTCAGCCTCTATACAATGGTTTTTCTTTAAGGTTTAGTACATTAAAATATGAATCTATGGTGGTTTCTAATGTTTTGCTCTTTAAAAATCATATCTGATTTTCTATTCAATAGGTATATAAAGATTTTTATTCAGGTGTGGTAGTGCACACCTGTAATCCCAACATTTGAGAGGCTGAGGTAGAAGCATTAAGAGCAAAGGCCAGCCTGGGCTACATAGTGAGATCCTGTCGATGAAAAAAAAAAAAAGATATTCAGTTCTTTTGAATTAAATTCTAAGTTTTTGTGTTTGTTAGTTAATTATCCATTTAATTCAGTTTTCCAAATTGATTATATAGAGTTGAGTACATTTTTAATTTTCCTGGATCCTTGGTTATTTTTATATTGTGACTTATTTGTGATAGATTTTTACCATTAGTTACTGATTAGACTAATTAACAGCTTCTTGTTTTTCCAGACTTTGAACTTAATTATTAGTTTATCATGTTTTTGTTTTTATAATTTATTTTCTTCTACTTTGATTTTTATTAATTTCTTTTTCTTTACTCAGGTTTATTTCATAGTTCTTATCCTAATTACTAAGTTGGATAGTTTACTTATTTATTGATATAAATGGTAAGATCATGAATTTATTTCTGATGCTGCTTGAACTGAACACAAGGGGTTCTGGTCTGTGATGTTTCAGTATTATTTTTTGTTAGATATTTTTGTTTTTATTTTAGTTTCCTTAAGTTATGTAAAATATGATTAAAAACTCTATAGGTGCAGGGGCATTTTCTTGTAGGGTTTGTTATGAATTTCTGATTTTATTGCTTTCTGGCCAGGAAGTAATGTCTGTGTATCTATACATTTCCCACGCTGAAGCTTTCAAAGAAGAGACCAGTACATAGTACAACTTTATTTTCTGCTATTTTGTGTAATGTATGCTATTACATGTACACGTCTTGTATCTTGTGTCTAATATGGTATATAACACAACCTTTTATACCCTATAGCAGCTCAATATAAACTAGATATTATCATTTTAGATAACTATAAGAGATTCTTTGGTTAGAAAAGTTTGACCAGGATTGGGCGTGGAAGCTCATTCCTGTAATCCCACCTACTAGGGAGGTGGAGATCTGGAGGATCATGGTTTGAGGCCACCCTGGCACAGTGTTAGTGATAACCCATCTCAAACAATAAGTTGAGCGTGATGATCGAAGTGTATAATTCCGACTAAGCAGGAGGTATATAAGTAGGAGGACTATGTTCCAGGCCAGTCTGGGCAATAAGATGAGACCAATCTGAACAATAACTAAAGAAAAAAGAAAAGTTTGACCAGGGGATGAGGCTTTTGTCTTGGTGAGACTGAAGGAGACTGCTTAGTGTGCTAAGAGTTTGAGAGTATTGTGTCTTCATAAGCACTCACACCCTCGGGAAAGCAGAAATTCTGTATATCAAACAAATAAAACAGTCTGGCATCCAAGGTAGTTGAAAGCATCTGCAGCTTTATTTGAGTCTCCAGAAGACTGAGCACAGGAGCCAGCTCTTAACCTGGCATCAAGCTGATGCTGGCGACCTTCCCCTGCTGGTCTGTTTTCATCCCTCCCACGCCCTACAACTCACTCCTCTCAGCAGCCTCACCCAGAGCTGTTCTTTCTCATGAACTCTGATCTCTGTTCCCACTCTCTGCCCTTCCAGAAACATCTGTCCCCACATTCCTTATCCCACCTGGAACTCTGGCTCCCTTCTTCTGAAGTACAGTCTTGTCTGTCTTTGAACTGATCCTACCCATCAGCTATCTTTATCTGTCATCCTGATCAATATAACAAAAGTAACTAAGTGGTGGGTTCAAGGTTATCAAATACAGACCTTTTCTTAGAAAAAAACAGGGGCAACAGATGCTGTAAGTTCATGTCCAAACAGTTCTTTTAGAATTATGACTTCAAACCTATAAGCGGGATGGGGGGGGCGTGTAAGATTCTATGCATTTGTAAAAACAACCTCATTCTTTATAGCAAGAATATAGTAAGTCACTTTCTTATAGTAGTAAATAGCACAGCTTTGGTTTTCATCAGTGAGATGTAGCTTTGTGTTTCTAAGATGGAACAATCTTTTACAATGAATAAATTGTTTTGTAGGCTAAAGAAGGTGCATTTATTGTCAGAGATTCAAGACATTTGGGATCCTACACAATCTCTGTGTTTATAAAAGCTAGAAGGTGAGCAATTATAATTTTGATTACTATAGATATAGTCTCTGGGGCAATCATTTATTAATGATGAATATGAGAGCTTAACTGAGGGGGAAGATCACTGGCCTGGAAGTTAGGACAGCTAGCTAGTCCATGGTGTGTCCCTGACATGCTCTGTTTGACATTAGATAAGTTGGATAAACTTTTCTGCCTTCCCTTTTCTCAATCATCAAGTGAGGGGGTTACAGTGGCTATGGCAGACACTGTTGGTGTCACTGTGATCCTGTCATTCCTTCATCTAATCTGGGGTTGACCTGTAGAAGTCTTTCAGTGAGGTTCTGCCTGAGAATGAGCTCTGACTCCAGACTAGGCTTGGAAGTGCCTAAGAAGTAACGTCCAGGAGCAAGCCTCCATCAGGGAGGAGTGGGAGTTGGTAGATAAACATCTCAGCTTCTTTGCAGTTCAGTCGGACAGTTCTGAGGCAACTTCCCCAGTCTTTCATAGACTCCTAGAAGGATGGAGCCCAAGATGTTCATTGCAGTAACCTGCTCAGTAATGTCCCTGTATTGGTTTTCCTGACTTCCTGTCTCACATTTCCTCCTTTGGAGTGCATTTGCTCATTTATTCAACCAAACTTTGATATTCAATAAATATTTATGCACGTTCTGTAACGAGAACCACTTTTTTGGGACATTGGACTTGCCACCTAGACAAGGTGGCTGAAGTTATGCTTAAATCTGAAGCTGTAATACTTGAGGAACTTTCCTAGGATGGTCAGGTATCTGATGAATCCACCAATCCTCTGTTCAGTGTGTAGTGTTGCTCTGATGGGAATTTGAGAATTGCAGTCTTATTGCTTAGTGAATTGGCTTAGTTCTAAAGTGATCTGTTGTTTTTCTACTAATTCATATTTTACTGATTTCAGAAGTACAGAGGCTATGATAAAACATTATCAGATTAAAAGGAATGACTCAGGACAGTGGTATGTGGCTGAAAGACACCTCTTTCGATCAGTCCCTGAGTTGATCTGGTATCACCAGCACAATGCAGCTGGTAAGTGAGGCGCTGGTGAGGGGCTGGAGAGCCATGCCCTTCACAGGAAATGCATGCTTGGTGTCAGATACTCAGTAGGAAGAAATTTACCTGTAGACCTCGCTTAAGATGTTGAAATACAATCCGTCTTCTGAGCAACTGTCCTCATTGATATGTCTTTCTAGTAATGGGGCAAGAAGTGAGAAAAATGATAGGTGACAGAAGCAAAAGTCCATTTAGCTATTATGCATTTGTTCTGGTAATTTATATAGGATTAAATGTAATGGGATTTCAAATACCTAAATAATGATTTGTCCTTTTCTTTGTCCTCATAAATCTGCTTTCTACTTTAATTAATTGTCACAGGACATTACCTTTTAATCTCTCGTTCTCCGTTCTTTCTTGTTTGAAGAACAGAAAAAATTATACAGAACCCAGCCTTTCATAGTTACACCATGACCTAAATATGCCAGAAGAATATTTTAACCCTCTTCCACAGCTATTGTTGGCTCTCACTGCTACTTTTTCAAATCTATCACCCGTAGAAAGATACAGGATCCAGAAAGTTCCACCACAATTACAGTCACCTCTCTGGCCTTCACCCCTCAGCCAGCCTGTGCTGAAATAAGTTAAGCTCAGGGGGGAATCTTTTTACCTCAGCATTATAGAATTTGGAATCCACTGTTACTTTTCATATTGTTTTGACTTCTTGTCATGTGATGCTTTTTCAGTTTTCACTCATGAAAAATTGTGTTGCCAAAAAAATCTCTTTTGGAAAGAGGCCACATTTCCTTTTATACTCATTTTAAACATCAGGAATAAACCCAAGGGAATTTGTATCCACTTATGGGATGATGGATTTCCACATGGTCGATGGAGTTTGTTTAGAAAGGGCAGGGCCCGAGGAAGCCATAGTTGTGGCTGGAGATAGAAAATTTGAAAATGAGATCAGTTCTGATGTTTCGTGTTTGTACTTCTCTTCCTCCTTCCTTCAAAGGAAAAATTTAAGAAAGAATGGTTATGTGGTGAGATTTAAAAAAATTAAGAATATAAGCATATACTGGCATTGAAAGATGTGAATGGGAAGTTAGGTTTAAAAAGTTCAGAGCAGTGTATTAAGATCATAATCCCATTTTTATTTTAAAAAGCATGTATAAACACACTGCACAGAAATGCTCTGTTAGTGCTTAGGTAATAATTTTTAAACAAATAAGATTATAATAGACTACAAATTGTTACTATTTATCTCTGGGAACTGAGACTGGGAGTAAGGGACAGTTTTATCTTCTTTGTAGATGGCTTAGAATTTTATTTTTTATTACAATGCACATATATTATTCTTATAATGTAAGAAAATACATTATATAATTAGAAAATACATTATAATGTAAAAAAATACTACAAAGTTAACTCCTTAAATAATAAAACTGGATCAAACAAGAAAAAGTAAAAATGGGAATGGAAAACATGTAGCCATGGTGCTGTTTTTCTAGAGAAAAGAAAGTAGAAAATAAATAAGAAAACAAGAATGAAGGATGATGAGGGTAAGAGGAAAGTCATGGGATCCAGAAATAATTGATCTTTGTTAAAGACTTACTTTGAGTCTGACTCTGTTCCATGTGTTTCATGTGTATTTATTTAATCCTCAGAGCAATCTTATGAGACAGGAGCTGTTGATATTGCCATTTTACAGATGGGGAAACTGAGGCAGGCAGGAGCTCAAGGTCATGTGGATGAATAAACATCTATGCTGAGATTTGAGCTAACAGAAATCTAGGTGCCCATTAGAGTCACTGGCTCTAGAGTCTGCATTCACTGCTACGGCATCCTCAGAAAGAGACAACCTTATTTTGGAGAGTTTAGTTTTAGAATTGACTGTGAATTGGTACCCATGACTGTCTTGTTTTGTTTTGGCCACTGGTCATTTTCTTTAGCCCATGACAATTTATCTGCTTATAAGAAGTAAAACCAATGCAAAGAGGGTGACAGACTTCTTTGTGTCACAGAGAGATAAGACATCACTAATCTATTGGTAGTAATTCCCAGGACAAAAATATTTGGCAAATAAAAACTTTGAAAGTAGAAGCAAGTGTTAGGGTCTTAAGGAAATTCATTTTTGCATTTTTATTCAGATCATTTATTATACTCAATTAGGTCTTCAGAGTTGCTGGGAAATACCATTTTCTGTTCTCTGAACCTTTCCCATTCTCTTCCAGATTTTTCCCCAATATTGTCACTGGCCTGTTGGTGGCCATCTACCTCATTAAGAAAATGAAAGTAATCAGGCACAATGCTCTTCATTTCCTACTCCTGCCACCATGCCAAACGCCCTCTCTCCCTCATTCCCTCTAACAGTGGTGAGGCCATGTCTGACTCTTCTTCCCATTGCTCCTCTCCTGCTGGGACTCCTCTCCACTATTACTTTCTCAGTAGCTCTTTCATTTCTTTTCACCATCTCCCTTAAGCCTGTACTTGTTCAAGGCTTTCATATTCTAAAAACAGAAACAAAACCCTCCTTTGAACCATTATCCTTTCAGATATCCTTCTTTAGTTAGAGCCATACTTTGGGGAAAAGTATGTCCATATCCACCATCTCCAGGTCCTCACTTTCCATTTGCTTTTCAAACTTCTGCAATCTGGCCTTTGCCTCCTGTAACAATGACTCCTATATGAGCACAGTGCTGCTTTCTGGTGCCTATATTTTCAGGTCCTGACGTTCAGGTCTGCTCTTAGTTATTTTGACATTTTGTTTTCTTCTTTCTTCTGCTCCTCCTTCTCTTTTGTCTTCTTGTTCTTCATCTTCTTTTTTTCTTTGGTGGTACTGGATTGAAGCTCAGAGCCTCCTGCTTGCTAGGCAGCTCTCAAGCTACAGCAACACCACCAGCCCCTTTTTGTTTTAGGTTATTTTTCAGATAGCATCTGACTTTTGCCCAGGGCCAGCCTTGAACTGTGATCCTCCTACCTATGGCCTCACTGGTGGCTGGATGACAAGCATGTGCCACCACATGTGGCTTATTTTGTTGAGATGGAGTCTTGATAACTTTTTCCACCAGACTGGCTTTGATCTCCACCTCCTGAGTAGCTGGGACTCCAGAAGTGAGCCCCTATGTTGGGCTCCCTAAATGTTTTGACGTCACCCTTTCTTGATTTTCTCTAACTCAGATTGTTCCTGTGGGTCCTTCTCTTCCCTTAACCACTGAGGTGCTGCAGGGATCCATCCCTAATCACTTTTCTTCTTAGCTAAGGCTTTTCTCTTTGCATAATTCTACCTGGTAAACACAGACACTTGGAATCCCTGGGCTATGAGCTCCAACGATGAACTAGAATGCTTCGTCTCACACCATCAGTCTCCCTACAAATCCATACTCCTCTTTCTATTGTTTATCTCTGGGAATGACACTATCAGCCATCCAATTGAAGGGGCTGGGAGCACAGAGTTAAGCAGATGTTTTTATTTTGCTCAACATCTAGCTTCTTATTAATTATCAAGTACAATCAATCATTTTTATATTCTAAAGGTGCTTCCCTGACTCTCCCTGCCTGCTAGTGCTGCCCTAATCACTATGGCAGCCCATTAACTGCTCTTATTTTCTCCAAAGTTCATTTCCCCCAGTGCACCTCTGTGTTACTGTCAGAGTGATCTATCAAAATGTGAATAGGAATATGTCATTCCATCATTGGGACCTTTCAGTGCCTCTCACACCCTTGCTGGAAAATGTAACAATGCCTAGCATGGCTTAAGAGGCCCTTCATAACCAGATTTCGATTTCTTGCCTCTTCCCCTCTCTCTCTTTTCCTTCCTTCCTTCCTTCCTTCCTTCCTTCCTTCCTTCCTTCCTTCCTTCCTTCCATCCTCTCTTCCTTCCTTCCTTCTTTCCTTTCTTTCTTGGCTTTGAACTCAGGGCTTTGTGCTTGCTCTGCAGGCACTCTTACCACTTGGACAACACTGCCAGCCCTTTTGCTTTTGGTTGTTTTTGAGATACATCTTGCTTTATGGCCAGGCAGCCCTGGACTATGATTCTCCTATTTGTACTTCCCATTGTAGCTGGGGAAGGCATGCACCACTGTGTCTGGCTGTTGGCTGAGATGGGGATCTTGCAAATCTTTTGCATGGGTTGACCTTAAACCATGCTCCTCCTAATCTCTGCCTCTTAAGTAGCTAGGATTACAGGCTGCTTCTGTTCTTTCAAGTACCCCCCTTCATGTGTCACATCTCTCTGTATCATCTCATGCATCTGCCTCTCCTATAATGTCCTTCTAAGTATCTCCTCATGGGTTCACCCCACTTGTCAGATTCATCTCAGGTGTCACTTCCTCTCAGAAGGCTTCTTTGAATCCACATGTGTTTGGAGCTCTTTCTCTGTGTCCCAGAGAGCCTGTGTGTGTCTCCAGCACAGTACTTATTCCTTTTATGTTTGAATGGCCTCTCCCTGTCTTCCCTCACTGAGATAGAGCTACCTGTGGGCATTTATTTAATTCATCTTTGGATTTTTAGGGATCTTTAGGATCTGTCTGGAAGACTGTTTTGTATACAATAGGCACTTAATAACTGCTTATTTCTGTTATTATAGTGACTGAGCTTATTTCTGCCTTTTAGACTTCACACATGCTGTTCCATCTACCTGGAAGGCTTTCTCTTCCGATTTTTGTGAGATGGCTTCTTGTCTATCAATGTCAGCGTAACTGTCATCTTGTAAACAGGCCTTCCCTGAGTACCCACCCTGAAAGCACTATATTTTATCTATTCTGCCTTGTACTCATTGTCATCTACTATTTCTCAAGTGTTTTTGCATTTTCTTATTTTCTTTTCCCACTAGAATGTAGGATCTGTGTAAGCCAGGATCATCACCAGTGTATTCACTGCTCTTTCTCAACATCTAGACAGTACATGACTCATACTAGGGTTTCAATGAGTATTTGTTGAAGAAATAAATAATAAATGCTTATTGAACTAAATTGAAATTGACTGTCTAGAATTCTGCACATCAAATGAAGTCTCATTCACTCTGCCATGCTATTTTTCAAAAAATAAATTACTTCCAAAGAGTGGACAACTTGGTGGTAAAATGAATTAGTGTAGAGTAGCATTTCTGGACATATATTTGACTTGGAAATTGCATCTGACAAGGGGATAATTTGGGAAGTGCATAACAAATGTATAAGAACATATAGCTTATTTTATAATAGAAGATCTTAGAAATAATTTAAAGACACCTTTATAGTGAATGGTACATATAAATTACATGCTTGGTAATAAGCTTATAACCAAACACTTGCATGTATTTACATGAATTGGATGTTATATACTTTCAGTTATGCAGATACAGCTTTTTGCAAAAATGTCCACCAAAGTGACAACAATTTATCTCCAGACACTAAAATTTTGTGAGAGCTCTTTTTGCTATCTTTATACTTTCTTAGAGTCTTTAAATTGTGTACAATGAGCGTCAATGGTTATGGGAAAAATTTTAAAATGTGAAATATAAGCAACCAGATTAACCTGTAGAATAAATGATAACTCCTAGTTATTTAAAGACTGATGCTGTCTTCTTCAGGTCTTTTTTCTACATTAGTAACAAGACTTGAGATGTTGATTTTTCCTCCTCCTTAGGTCTTATGTCTCGTCTCCGCTATCCAGTTGGGCTGATGGGCAGCTGTTTACCAGCCACAGCTGGTTTTAGCTATGGTAAAGTATGCACATGTGCTGAAGTAAGACATCCAAGCCAGTGAGGAACCTATCCTCACATTCTTTACAGTCTCTGTTCTTCTGAAATGTCTGCCTTAATGCGTTTCTTTTCAAAAAGTTTAACTACCCTGTCTGAGATGTTTAAATAATGCATCTTTATAAAGGTGATTTAAACTTCGGGAAGAAATGTTTCAATTTTACTTCAGGTTTCACTATACATTATCACGAGTCTTAATCTTCACCTTCTGGATAACAATTTTTATTTGGATATTAGATATCAATATTGGGATGTTGATTTCCCAGGGTGGGTAGGAAATCAAGAGAACCTATTGAAAAGAGCTGCTGAAAGTGTCCCAGACATCTTTCTTTTTTTCAAACAGAATTTGCACTAAGTTTGATCTGAACTACTTTCTAACAAATGTGATATGTGTGAATTTATGATAATAAATAAGAGCCAGGGTTCTGTTTTCTAGTTTGGTGAGATTTTTGTCCCCTTAAATTTCTGCCATTAGTGGGACTCAAATTATTCTGAAAAAAATGATGTTGTAATTATATTGTGTAAAAAAAGTAACTGGGATTCAGGGTTTTATTAGGTTAAGTGGGTTGGAGGTGACTTCAGGTGCCACGGGTGGCTTTATTATTCCTCTACCTCATAGACACTATACATAAAGTTCTGCCATTAGCAGTTTATTTAAGTTGAAATGTCCTCTTCAAGGTCTTAAAAATAAATGTTCAAAGTTTTAAACATATAGGACAGCATAGAATTCATAAGTCTGTGAATAGCTTGATTTATCTTACCTGGTTTTGACTATTTTAGATAAAATATAATCAGACACCGTCTAGTCTTTTTTGTTGGACTTCTTCCTGTCATCTGTGAATGTTGTCTGTGGTGTTGGACATGGATGGTTCATTTTCATTGTGACATAGTGCTATATTACAGGATGACTCCAAAATTGATTTACCCAGGCTTCTTCACACAGCAATTTGGGTTGTGAATTGAGTCTTGGCTCTTACAGATAATACCGTTTTGAGCATTCCTGTATGTCTTCAGATGAAGTTAAGTGCATGTTGGGTATATGCTCCAGAGTAGACTGATTAAGTCATCAAGTGTATATATGCTCAGATATATGTTATAGTCAATTCTACAAAGAGCTTGAACAAAATTACACTCCCATCCATAATGTACAAGAATTATACTTCTCCATACTTTCACTCGTGTCAGTAGTCAGTATTTTAGTCTTTTTTAATTTAGACAATCTCTATGTGTAGTGGTATCTCATTATGACTTAAATTTGGTTTCTGATGACCATTTGGATCAACTTTTAATAGGTTTATTGGCCATTTGGCTATACTCTTATGACTGAATATTCTAACCTTTTTACACTTAAAAATAGGGCTATGTGTCCTTCCTAATTAACTTATTCACATTTTGAATAAGAATTGTTGGTAACCTTCTCCCAGCTGGTATTTTACCTTTTCACTCTCTTGATGGGGTGTTTTTGATGAATAGGTGATATTAATAAATCAGCATTTTCCTTTATGATTACATTCTATCAAATAAAACTATGCAATACCAAGGTCACGAAAATATTCTCCCGAGTTTCTTTTAGAACACCCTTGACACTGGTAGGAGGAGTGCTTTGCACAGGCAGTACAGGGGCTTACCAGCTTTTATGATTCTGTTAAATGCATTATTCTAAAGTTCCAGCAGGTGGTGGTGGTGTTGTATAAAAGGAAGATGTCAAAAAAAAAAAAAAAGATTTGATTCTTAATGTTCAAGAGGGTTATTTTAAAAACCATTCCTTGTTTATGATTTGCTTCTATGGAGTAAGAAACATATAGGAACATTCATTTCAGTTCAAATGTATTCTTGGGTTCTGACATTGATATGTTTATTAGATGACTAGATTAGATTTTTTTCCCTAAGGAGAGGCTGCATCAAGGCAGAAAAGCACTTTGCGGTGGAGTGAGAACAGTGGAAGGAACTGCAATGAAGCAAAGAGAGTATCACCAACTTCATCTGCGTTACAAGTTTAACAGCAGGACAAAAAACAGACTGGGGATACCCATGTTTTTAGTCCCAGGTCTACTTTTGGTTGGTTTAGTTTAGAAAGGCATAGAAACATCTTTCATACCATGTATATGCTTTCATATCCATAATTTGCACATTTCTCTTCAAGTAGGAAAAGTTTGAATTTTAAAACCTGAAGTCTTGAGCCGGGAACCAGTCCTCACACCAAGAGTCCTAGCTACTCACTAAACTGAGATTGGGAAGATCGAAGTTCTAGGTCAGCCTGGGCAAAAAAGTTTGTGAGACCTGATCTTAACAGAAAAAAGCTGGGCATGGTGGCACGTGCCTATCATCTCAGTGACTTAAGGAAGATTTAAATAGGATTGTGGTCCAGGAAAGCCTGGGCAAAAAGCAAGACCTTATCCGCAAAATAATGAGAGAAAAAAATGGCTGGTGGTCTGGTTCAAGCTGGAGAGTTCACTCCTGGCAAATGTGAAATCCCAGTACTGCAAAACCTGATGTCTTGAATTTTATATTTAAGCCACAATAAGGGTATTAAAAATGGCTATCGATCCTCTCCACTCATTTATCCATTTTTTAACCTCTATGTGAAATAAGGGGATAGGACTATATACTTCTTAAATCTTTTCTACCTCTAAAATCTTTTTCTCTTGCTTATAACATGTATGTTTTAATTTTCCAGAGAAGTGGGAGATTAATCCATCTGAGTTGGCTTTTGTCAAGGAGATTGGAAGTGGTCAGTTTGGGGTGGTCCATTTAGGAGAATGGCGAGCACATATGCAGGTAGCAATCAAAGCTATTCACGAAGGCTCCATGTCTGAAGAGGATTTCATTGAAGAGGCTAAAGTGATGATGTAAGTATAAACAACCTCCAGATAAATGTGGTGTCATGGGAGGAACATGGACTTTGGAGTCAGACACACCTGGATTTGTGTTACAAGTCTGCCCAGGCTAGTTGTGTGACCTAGGGAAATTATTTAACCTCTGTGTGACCCAGAGGAATTATTTCTCTTTTCAATCTTCAAAGTCTTCATCTGCAAAATGGGGATAAAAATACCTGCTTCACTGGATCATTGAGTTAAATGATGCTCTATGAAAGTGACAAACAAGCATGCACTATTCAGCTCAATACTAGGTGCTTAGTAAGTATTCTTTAGTTTTCTTCTTTTTCTCGGAAGCAAAAATATTGGTTTTGTTCAGGTGTTAATATATTGCTCATCTTTTGAAAGGGCATCCTGATTGGTCAAAAGGGTTAATTTTTTTTTTGTAAGGATGAAATACATGCTTTCAGAAAATTTAAGAATCCTGAGTTTTAAAAGAAGTGGCTCTTTGTAGACCATTGGTCACTGCTCTTAATATTTGTAATTTTCTAGGACAACATATGACTCAGTTGAGCTTGTGGCTGTGGTTTATTTATTTTTAGGTTTTTTTTTGGGGGGTACTGGTGTTTGAACTCAGGGTCTTGTGCTTGCCAGGCAAGTGTTCTACCACTTGAGCCACACCTCTAACCCTTGTGGCTGTGGTTTATAACTGTAATCCCAGCTGGACCAAGACAGATCAATAATTTGACACAGTTAAAATCAACATGTTTTAAATATTTGTTCAACATATGTACAGAAGATCAGGAATGCAATGAAGAAGGAAAACCTCGGGTGGCATTATTTTGATTTTTTTTTGTTGTCCAGAGCAATTTAGTTCTGTTCCAAACTTGCAGAACCAGTTGGAAACAAACAATAAACAAGACGGCAAACAACAACTGGAAATGATTAACTGCAAGCATTCTCCTTTGAAGGCAAAGCAATGATATCTTTTGAGGCCCTCTAACTCCTCTCCAAGTAGCCTATCAAAGTATCTTTTCTATTTGCTTATAATAGGATGAATCTGGAGGTTATGATAAACACAATTTTCCAGTGACATCAGCCTCCCAGTGATGTTTTTGTGTCCTAAGGTACTAAAAGCATCTGTCTGCTGGCCTTTGCTCTTTGACACTGTATCCATCTAATCATGGTTTTCCTTCATCTTAAGGACAAAAATTATAGTTCTGTGTGTTAGGTCAAATACACATAATATGAAAAGGATGAATGGGAGACCTGTCGCTCAGGAGGTAAAACCACATTGAAATTCCTATCAAACAAGTAAGAGAGATGTCTGACATTCATCATGATGAGGGGGTTCCTGAAAGATTGAAGCCCAGTAGGGAATTTGGGCTAGGATCTCTAAGGATAATATTTAAGGGTGATAGAAGATATATGGAGGGAGAGGAATAAAAATTGACTCTGACGATTTTATAGAGGTAGAAATGAGGCCAGTGGCTTATGCTAAGTAAGTTCAGATGGACATAATGTGTTCTTGGGTTTGAACAAAGCTAATTGTTTCCAGAATTTTTTTTTTAATTAAGGCAGGAAAAGTTCTATTCTAACATCCTATTGTAAGTATATTCCTTTTTAAATAGCTTGTGTGCGTTGAGTTCTATCTGCCAGATATATACAGCTCTGCCCATGTTCTTTCTTTTCTGCAGGTGTAGTACAGACTCATTTACTCCAGGAGTGCTCACTGACTACCCTGTTTTAGTTGGTGTACCCTCCCCTGTTGTGTCACCTTGTGTTAGTTCCATTAAAGTACTTGCCACTACTCCGAAGCTTCATGTGTATTTATTTTTGCTTCTCCCTGTGAAAATGTGGACTCATTTTCCACATTAGTTAATACAGTAGTCCCTCAGTATCTTTGAGAGATTGGTTCCAGGACCCCCCTTGAAAGTCATAATCTGTGATGCTCAAGTCCTTTTATGAAGTGTAGTACTTGCATGTAATCTGCACAATTCTCCTGTGCACTGTTTGGGAAGTTTCTGCAGTGGTCTAAGGAGAAGATGATGGTGGGTGGAATGAGGACAGAGGTAGAAAGGAGAGTACTTTCAGGATATGTTTTTGAGATACAGTTATTAAGACTTACTAACAAATTGAACATGGCAGATGATGGGAGGAAACCAGGGGAGTGAAGATGATTCCAAGGTGTTGGTGTGCACAAGTTGGTGGGAATTTCCATTTGCTGAGGTGGGGAAGACTGGACAGATATGGGGAAAGATGAAGAATTCTGCTTTGGACATATTGAAGTTGAGAGGCCTCTTAGCTGGTCAGGTAGATGCATGAGTCTGTGAGTTCAGGAAAAAGGTCAAGGCGGTGGGTATTGACTTGAGAGTGAGCACAAGGGATGACATTTAAGACTGTGAAACTTGATTAGCGTATCAAGAGAGGGAATAGCTAAGAGAGGATAACGGGAGAAGCAAAGAGTCTGAAATATTTACATAACAAATTTAAATAATAAATACGTTTGTCCTGCAGTGACTCACATACACTTCTCTAAAATGAGAGATAATGTGCAGTAAGAGATTCTAACGTCATGGCAAGCAAGAATGTACTTTTTCTATGCCCGTAAGAAATTGTTATCTTATGTGATAGACTGAATCATGCATGAGGAATTTTTATTTGTTTTTACTTTATTTCTGCTAGAGGTTTGTCTTATTTCTGACAAATTTTCGCTACTGGTCTTGCTAAACAAATCCATTATAATGTTTCAATTCTCAAATGCTTTCAGGTAGGTATTGACTTAGGGGATTTCTTTTGTTTTCACTCTTAAGAAAATTTCTTATATTTTAACTGATGACATAAAATATTAGACAATTAGATTGCTTTAATAATGCAGAGAAACTATAGCAGATACCTTAAAAGCAACTGAGGCCAATATGAAAAGGGGAACAGGAACTAGAGAAAAGGTGAGATCAAAAAGAATTAACCTAGAAGGTAACACCCACGCACAGGAAATCAATGTGAGTCAATGCCCTGTATAGCTATCCTTATCTCAAGCAGCAAAAACCCTTGTTCCTTCCTATTATGGCTTATACTCTCTCTACAACAAAATTAGAAATAAGGGCAAAATAGTTTCTGCTGGGTATTGAGGGGGTGGGGGGGAGAGGGAGGGGACAGAGTGGGTGGTAAGGGAGGGGTTGGGGGCAGGGGGGAGAAATGACCCAAGCCTTGTATGCACATGTGAATAATAAAACAATAAAAAAAAGAAATAAAGATAAACAAATCAGATCCTCTGGAAAAAAAAAAAAGATTGCTTTAAGATTTGTATGCAATCCTTAGACCAAGCAGTAAAACATAAAAGAGATATAGATACAAAGCCCTTAGAACATCTAAATGGCATACTAAAAAATTACACTAATACAAAAAGATGGCAGAAAGGAGGAACAAAGAAACAAACAAAAAATAGATTGCACAAATTAGAGGGAGATTTCTTGTGACAAATTCATTTGGAGGCTTGTTTCCTGACATTATCCTACACACATGTAGGCTGCATCCCTTAACTGAAAGCACCCTGTATTAACGTGAAAGGCAAATCAGACAATGTATGTATAATATGTATGCATCTCCAAATTAAATCGTGCCTAGGTTCTCTGAATGCCTTGCTTCCCCCTTAGGAGTATTTTTACAAACTAATTTTATGGTAATATATTCATAATTACTTCATATATGTTGTTTTAAGGTAAATTGTCTTCCTGAGTTGCTGATTTCATTTTAGCTTTATAAATGAAAAGAGAATTTTTCAAGGTACTTCTAACTGAGAATTGCTTATTATACATCTAGAATTGCAAACATTAGTTTGAAATTGGTTTTCCATGGTGACCAGTTAGCATTAAAGGTCTTTAGAGATTCAGTGTTATATTCCACAGAAGAAACAATAAACTTTTGAAGTCTAGATGACTAAAATGTTCTGGGTATGTTTAAACAGGCAACATTTGAGGACTCTGTGTTGTAACTGCTAAATGCACAGCAAGTTTTCATGTTGGTAAACATTTTATTTATTTATTTACTTATTTTTATTATTATTGTGCTGGGGGTACATTATGACATTTACAAAAGTTCTTACAATGTATCATAGTTGAGCTCACCCCTCCATCATTCTCCTGGTAAACATTTTTAAATCTTTAAATTTATTGAAAAATTTCCTTTTTGATGGCTTTACTCTTTGGAATTTAATTTATTTTTTTATGTCCATCAGTCACTCTCTCCTCCCTCCTGTCTATTCAGAGTTTTCTATCTGAAGGGTGTAGTTAGGAAGGTTGGTGTTCAAGGATCAGGAACTCTGAGACCTGGGCCAGGAGAAGCAATAATGAAGAGGCAAAGGCTTGCAAAACCGAAAGAGGAAAATGAAAATGCTGTCACGTAGAGTAAGGGGCATATAATGTTCTTTATTGACAATGACTTTAGAAGTGATGCTAACTCCTGACCCCCCTTTCTGAGTGTGTAAAGTGGAAAGGATAGTGCTCTGCTTTCTCAGGGTGGGTTGATGTTTATCTTATCTTGATAGTGAAAATGATGCATAGATGGTAATAACTGTTACCACCAGTAATGCAAACACTTCACAATGCAAAGTCAATTCTACTCATCCAGATATGTTTTTCTTCAACAGGAAGCTATCACATTCGAGGCTAGTTCAACTTTATGGGGTGTGTATACAGCAGAAGCCTATTTACATTGTGACTGAGTTTATGGAAAATGGCTGCCTGCTGAACTATCTCAGGGAGAGAAAAGGCAACCTTAAAAGGGAAATGCTTCTGAGCATGTGCCAGGATGTATGTGAAGGGATGGAATACCTAGAGAGGAACTGCTATATTCACAGAGATTTAGTAAGTATGGGGCAAATTCACTTCTATAGAAAATAGACAATAAAATACAAAATGACAATTACTTTAATACTTTGAAGATTTATCCTCTGGCTTAATTTTAAAACATTTTTGTATTCATGCAATTTATTGTGAAAGGTAAGGTAATTTTAATTTTTTTTGTGGTATTGAGGCTTAAACCCAGGGTCTTGTAAGCCCAGGCAACTGCTTTACTACTGAGCTATATCTCTAGCTCCCTGTAACTTTATTTTTATTTGCAATTTTATTAATGCTGTTATCAAGTAAATTATTACCCTAAATATACCTTGAAGTAACCAAAACCGATTTACTTTCCTCTCTTTACTTCCTCCCTCCATTTCTTTCTTTTTTTTTTCCTTTCATCTTCCTTCCTTTCAACCAGTAATCACACATGTCCTGAGTGCCTTGTTTATGCTAAGCGCTCTGCTAGGTTTTAAGACAGGGCAGTGAAAGTCAAGTTTCTGTGGTTTTCAAACAGGAGCAAAACTGCCCCCAGGTTCAGGTGGCTTGGTTCTGAGATTATTGTTAAAAGCATTATTGGCATTATGGATGGAGACTAGAAATGCTCTATCATTCTTTTCTGTAATGAACAGAACATTTCTATTTTTAAAAAATGACTGACCAAATGCTAACAGCACTACTTCCCTGACTTGGCACCTCCCCTTGAGTAACTCTGTCCACTCCACCTTTTTTCAGGAAATTCGTATCACTCCTTCTATGGCCTTCCATGTTTCATTTCTAAGCCTAAAATTTAACTCAAATGAGAACTTGAGTATTTCATAAGAAATCCCTGATAAGTCATCTCTAAATAAGCCTGTGTGTTGATCCTGTATGACCCAGAGTGATCATGTTACATATTCATCACTCAGGCTAGACTATTTTGGGGGAGAGAAAGGATGCATAGTTGTATTGGCTCCAGGATACTTCGGGAATATACTCTTCTACTGAGGACTTAGAACTCTCACAGTGTTTATTATTTAATGCTTCACATAATAGTTAATTGTTTACATTTTATGTCCATACTGCATTCTAATGGCCTTGAGATCAAGGCCTAGACTTTTGAGATGCAGTACAGCATGCTAAGAACACAGGTTGTAGAGCAAAGGTTCTCAAAATTGGCTGTGTGTTCAAATCACCTGGAGCTTTGAGAAAAATCTCAGTACCCACACCATACCCCAGACAAGATAAATCAGAATCTCTGGAGCTCTACCACCAAGCCATCCTCCAGTCATCTAGAAGGGAGGCATCAATATTTTTTGAAAATTCTTCCCAGGAGTCCCATATGCAATCAAGGTTGAGAATGATTATTCTAGAACCAGACTGCCAGGTTAAAATGTTACCTCTGTTTCTTACTAGCTGTGTGACCTTGGGAAAACTATTTAACCAGTAAAGTGGCATTAGCCATAGCATCTCCCTCATGTGGGTGTGTTAGGGGCATTATAAGAATTACTATGTGCAAGTACAGAAAACAGTGCCTGGCCCATACAGGAGTCCAGCAATGCTAACTAGTGCTGTTACAGAGGCAGATTGCCATGTTTTATCACTCAGGGCACATTCCCCAGTACCCAGCACATAGGGCTACTGAGCAAATTTTGAAGAATGGATATGCTATTTATTTTCCCTATCTCGCTTTCCTGGTCTGCAGGTTTGTTTTATCTGATAAGGATGAGAATTTAAAACTTAGTTGTGTGACAGTTCTGATCATTCTATTTGAAACATGTCGCTTCTCAAGAACCTTCTATGCTTGGTTTCTTCCTAGATCAATAGTTTTCTTTATATTCTATCTTATCTTTTTTCATGCCACATAAAACATATCCGCTAACAATGAGTCTTTTTCTTGTGCTTTGTCTTTGAGATCATTGATGACACTTGCTAGCATCTTCCAAACTGGGTCCTCTGACTTAGCATTTCAAGTTTCTTGCTTTTGTTACTAGATTCATTGAACACCAAATTAGCTGAAAAGAGAAAAATTCTATCAAACATGTTCACCTATATGAATCACCAAATCAATGAGTTTTCTTAACTGAGTTGCTGATAATGAGTTGTTCTGGGATCAAATTATTGTTTCCACATTATATAGTACGATATTTAGCTCACTGTGATAATTTTAAGAAATAGTTAATTATCACTAAATAGTTACACTCAGTGAAATGGAAGGCTTAAAACATAATTTCTTAATTTTTATTGCCTATTAGAGATCCCAAAGATATGAAACGACTATGCCTTAGCTGTCATGCATATTGGGCTTTCTTCTTTTATGATTAAGTATAAAATATACAGTTTTTTAATGTCAAAATTCAGTTTATCATCAGTTAGATTGAATTAATCTCATATGTATCAAAGGATGCTTCTTGAGAAAGAGTAAATATTTTAAAAAGTAGAAGTGTTAGCACTTCTTTTGAATTTTTTTGAAAGTTTTATTTATTTATTTTCTTCATTTTTATGATATTATTGTACTAGAGGTACACTATGACATTTACAAAAGTGCTTACAATATATCTTAGTTAAATTCATCCCTCCATCATTCTCCTTTATCCTCCTTCCCCCATTCCTGGAATATTTTCAACAGGTTTCATTTTTACATTTTCATACATGGGAACATAATATTTTCTACCACATTCAGGCTCCTTCACCTTTCCTTGTATCCTCCCCCTCACTAGTACCAATACCCAGACAGGATCTACTTTTATCTTCCTGTTCTCCATTTTTAAAAGGTATTTGTGTTTGTTTAAGATAGCTCTGTAGGGAGTGAATTTTTATTATTACAGGCTCATGCCCATAACCCTAGCAACTCAGGAGGCAGAGATCAGGAGAATCAAGGTTCGAAGCCAGCTTAGGTAAATAGTTCGTGAGACTCTATCTCAAACACCTGCCACAATAAAGGGCTGGTGGAGTGGCTCAGGGTTTAGGCCCCTGTGTTCAAAATCCCATACCACAAAAAAAAAATTCATCACATTAGGGAAGGTTCTTAAATCATATATAAGGTGTCACCATGAAAATCACATGGCTGTCCACAGAGAGAGTTAATGCAAGGTCCAAATAAACTAAGGAAGAATAGGAACTCTTGAAAGAAAAACCTGTAGTTAAACTTGGATTCTTTTCTTCTTTTTATAGGCAGCAAGGAATTGTTTGGTCAGTTCTGCATGTATAGTAAAAATTTCAGACTTTGGAATGACCAGGTATGTGATATTTATGTCTTATAGATACACTTTGCTTACTCATAAGAAGGAATCTTACATTTGTCTATTGACAAACTTACAACACTACTGGCTGTGCTTTTTCTGTGGGGGAAGGGTTGGTGTGGTTTCATGGCCCTGACCCATTTTTGATTTCAGGACATGTACCAATTTTAACTGTGAGGTAGATGTTTACTGTGAGCTATTCTTCTCATTGTTCAGATCATTGCATTTTTAATTATGGTAGATCTTATAATGAAAAGGAGAATTTCTCAGTCTACTTATATGTATATGATTAAGAAAAACATTTTCCTGATAAATGTATATTTTTGAAAGAAAAAGGAACAAATATGTTTGCTTTTTCTAAGTCATCACCAGACACTTCTGTTATCAAATGTAGTGATTGACCTTAAGTCTACAACTCAGCAGTGTGAAAATCCTAACCATATATTTCTATAATTCAATATAATTTACATTTTAAGCTCCCTTTTCTTTGGTGTACTTGAAATTTTGGTGTCTCCCTGACTTTCAGCATCAAAGTCCCCATTTGGGGGTGTTTTGTGGAGCCACAATACAGCAGGGAGGAGCTTATCTGGTCATGTTGTAATCTATGCAGTCTGACATCTTTGCAGCTACTTGTCCTCTTGTCTTGGCTGTGTTTGTCCAACTATAGCTTAGACACCTTCAATTTTTGTCTGGAAAATTCCTTCAGAGATAGCATTCTCTCCAATTAGAGAACTTCATGGGCTGTCTAATGTTCCACTTACTTAAGACACACCCACAGCTATTGTTCTTTGGAACTTTTCCGCCTTTTCTGGGACTCTACCTAGAAAGACAGCATTGGTTCTGTTTTGTTTGATCTTGAGCCTTGCCCACCTCATATGGCAGTGGGTGCTCTGTGACCTGGGCCTTTAGACAAGTACAGGACCCTAACTCAACGAGCAACCAATATCTAATATTCCTTCCCTTCCCTTTCATTTTCCTCTTCCTCTTACCTCAAAGGATCTTTTTATCGATGGATGAGTGATGGTGGTGGTAGTGAGATGTCACTCTTATTCATGACTCACTCTCTCAAATAGCTTGTTAATTATTCAGTCCTTTTTCTCTGAGAAGTCTAGACTATAGAAATTAAAAACCTATGGAAAATGGCTTTTCTTCTTTGCTTCCTATTATCCCCTGCTCCCCACTCCTTTCTTGGTGGTACTGGGTTTTGAACTAGGGCTTTCAACTTGCCAGGCAGGTGCTCTACCACTTAAGCCACTCTGCCAGCTTTTTTTTTGTGATGGATATTTTTGAGCTAGGGTCTCACCAACTATTTGGCCAGGCTGGCTTTGAACTTCAATCCTCCTGATCTCTGCCTCCCAAGAAGATAGGATTAGAGGCATGAATCAGCAGCACTGGGCCCATAACTTCTTTTTATAAAGGACTGTTGTAACATATTTGAGACTTTTTCATATCATATTATGTTCATATACTTTTATCCCCACTTCTCTATGACCCATAAAATATGTACATGAAAAAATATTGTGTGCAACTTTGAATTCATTATTTTCCTATATAAGGAGAGTGAGCTTTCATTTATCTTTTATTCCCTTTTGATAACCTTGGTTATAAGAGAATGCAGCGTTCTCCTTTGCAGAGTTAAGAATGTACCCTAATGAACGTAAACAGTGAGCCATGTTTTGGACTGAAGAATTGTTACAGTTTTCTGAGACCCACAAGGGGGGGTGGGGTAGAGGAAACACTGTGAAGAACACTTTCACACTCTGCTAATGAGAAAAGAAGGTGCACAGAACCCTTCTGGGGCAATTGCTAAAAGAATCCCTTTAGTTAAAGGGTTGTGGAGTAAATAAATCTCAGAGGTAATTAATGCATTGTGCTCTGAATCTGATGACCACAGGTATGTTTTGGATGATGAGTACATCAGCTCTTCTGGAGCCAAGTTCCCAATTAAGTGGTCTCCCCCTGAAGTTGTTCATTTCAACAAGTACAGTAGCAAATCTGATGTCTGGTCATTTGGTAAGTACATTTGGTGGAGCTGGATTTAATACAATGGGCAATCTTTTCTTTTTGACTTTGATTTTAAAAATATGTTGTAGCACTTCAATAGTCTTCTTGTAACTTTGCTTTTTTATGTGTTTTAACAATACCCAGATTGTCTTTGGTCACTGGTGTCATATACTTTCTTACACTAGTCTGCCTTTTGGATCTTTTCCTTTCCCAATGAATACTGGCTACAAAACCGTAACAAAGAGTATTCTGATCTAGAAAACAAACTCAGCCAATTTTCACACACCACAGAGCCTGGAAGGAAAAATGATCTTATGTCATCATTGAATTTCTAGTATATTTTATAAACTTCATTTCCAACTGTTCACTTAACAATGTTAACTTAAAATCTGGATTTAACAAGTTGGGTGTAACACATTTGTACATGGAAGCAATGTTAGGAATCTCTCTGTACAGCTATCTTTATCTCAATTAGCAAAAATGCTTTGTCTTTCTTATTATGCTTATGTCTTCTCTTCAACAAAATCAGAGATAAGGGCAGAACAGGTTCTACCTGGAAGTGAGGGGGAGAGGGGAACAGAACGTGGGGAAGGGGGGCAGGGGAGAGAAATGACCCAAACAATGTATGCACATGTGAATAAATGAATAAAAAAATTTAAAAGAACCCCTGGATTTGAGAAAATGGCACTATCTTTCATTACTTTTAAGTTTTGTTTGATTTAGACATAGGCTTTCTTGAGATCCGCTTATTTATATTGGGTAACGCTTTTCATTGAGAAAGAGACACTGTAGAATCATGCACAATATAGTTTATTCTTTGAGTTGATCCTCAAAACATGTTAATAAATGTACAAAAATCTGCTATTTTTCATCCTGAACTTCCTTATGGCTTTTAGGTTTGAAGAGACTTCAAGGCTTTCAGAAGGGTGTAAATTTTGTTATCTAAAATATAATTAAGCTGTATCATTGATCTGATCAGCTATCTTATTGCAACCTCAACATGTGGCATTTTAAGTTGTGAGACCTCATCTTAGAGACCCTCTGGATAGCAATACAAGGTCCCCTCAAGTGGTTACAGAACAATTAGAACTCCCTGAATTCCATTTGTCTCCCTTCCTCCCTGGACAATGAGCTTTTGAGTAGATAGATTGGTCTTCTTATTCTTACAGAATCATCTGACCCTAGCAGAGGCCTGCTCTCTAACCAGTACCAAAAAATTACTTGTAGAATTGTGAATAATTAAATGATCTCAAGTTGGAAGTTCCTGAAGGGATGTTACTAATCCATCAGCCATTCTTTATTAAGCACCTACTTATGTACAGAGCCTCTCCTAGACACTCTGAGCCTCTACCCATCAGTCCAGTCTTTCAGTGGGAAGAGGGGCCAACTGCCATCTACTAGCTGGGAAATTCTTGGTCTTAGCAGGCAGCAGAGGCTCACACAAGTCTGTCATTTTCTATGGCATGGCAGAAAGGCTCATTGACTTCAGAGTATAGAACATAAGCCGTACTTAGAAATGAAAATACTTCCAGCATTTTCTTCCAATACAGAGACTACCAAGACCAGTGGAACAAAGTGTGCTTCCTCACTCCTGTAATCCCAGCTACTTGGGAGGTGGAAACCATGAGAACTGTGGTTCAGAAAGTTCAAGAGACCACCATCTCAACCAATGGCTGGGTGTGGTGGCATTCTCCTGTCATTGCAGCTAGGGGGGAGAAGCACAAATAGGAGGACTGCTGTCCAGGCCAGCCCAGGTATAAAGTGAGAGCCTGCATCAAAAATAACCAACATTAAAAATGCTGGCAGAGTGGCTCAAGTGGTAGAGTGCCTGCCTAGCAAGCATGAGGCCCTGAGTTCAACCCCCAGCACTATCAAAAATAAGTAAGTAAATAAATAAATAAATAAAAACTTTAAAAAATGGAAAAGGAAAGGCATTATTTTCAAGGTGCAGGCCTTTTCAAAAGCTCAGGTGTGCATAGTCTACTTCCTACTTAGAACTGCTCTTATTTGGATGATTGTAACACACAGGCTGGAGGAAAAAAATAATGCCTTGTAATTTGAGGCAAACAGCTATTTCAGTTCCAAGCAGTCATTTCTCTCTAACCTCTTGTTTTCATGCATTTTATTTGCAGGAGTTTTAATGTGGGAGGTTTTTACTGAAGGAAAAATGCCTTTTGAAAATAAGTCAAATTTGCAAGTGGTGGAAGCTATTTCTAAAGGTTTCCGGTTGTATCGCCCTCATCTGGCACCCATGTCCATATATGAAGTCATGTACAGCTGCTGGCATGCGGTAGGTGTCCCTTCCCTTCCTGGTTGGCAGCCCCAGCATCTGAGAACAAACCTGATTGTCACCAGCAATCACTCAGGACTCTGTCATGGCAGCAAAAGCTGCTTGTTTCTTAGTAATGACCTGAGAACCAGAAGTACTGTTAACTGAAACTCCCACTGCAAAATCATCAATCCATTTTGTTTTCCATGGTGGCTTTTTGGCTGAGGAGCTTAGTTTCCAAGTCTGATCTGTCTGAGATTTGTTCTTGGAGAAACTCCTGGTGTTACTAATGCCTCACTGATTAGATGTTTCATGGTCTTTAAGAACTCATTGGTGGAACTAAGGATTGAACAGGTTTGTTAAACTTCCACATTGAAAAAGAAGAGTGCTGTTTGTATTTACTTCACGTCACTTTCATTTGCCTTGCTTTTCAGGGCTAAATGTAATGGGTTTCATCTCTCTGTGGCACTTAAGATTCCTGAAAGAGAGATTAAACCAGAATAGAAATGAAGGCAGACCGTGTTCCAGGAACCACCCTTTGGGAAGTCATCTCTTGGGATCCCAGTTTCTCCTTTTGTTGAGATACCAAGCTTAAAAATACAGCCAGAGGGGTTTCTGTCCCACTTTTGCTTTTCTGGGCATTGATTAACTCATCCTTTCTGTTCTTCTCAGACTCCCCTGTTATTTTTGAGCGTTATTCTCTCTTCACAGCTGAGAGTCTTAGCCCAGAAAAATCACAGCCTGATGAGGAGGTTCCTCCCCGCTGAAAGGAAAAAATCTAAAACACTTGATTCCTAGTTCACAAACACTGGAAAGTCTGGAAAGTCAATATTTCAGAGTGATATGGTTGTTCACATTCCAGAGAGGTATTTAATTTCTAAATATCCCCAATGTCTGAAACTATTTATGATTAATTGCTCCATAAGGAACCTTGAAAGGCGTAGGTAATTGTTAAGTAAGCTGTTAGTAGCAAACAGCTGTTTTAGGAACATCTTTGCAATAAAAATGTCAATAGCTCAGGAGCATACAGATGGTAGTTATTGTCACTGGAGAGAAATGGCAGGCTCTTGGTCTCACCAAAGAAACAATTCAGGCGTGGACACATAGAGTAGTTTTAACAGAGCAAGATTTATTGAAGTAAAAGTGAAAATAAACCCCCATAGGAGATGGACCAAACTCCTGGGTCTTAGGCATTTTTATGGGTAGGGTTTAATGATTATGCTAAGAATATGTACATAATTGTGGAGTTTTCCAAGACATGGGAAGACTTTTCTAAGATAGAAGGTGGTGTCCTCAAGGCCAAGACGTTTGAGAGAAGGTTCATGCATGAAACTGCAATTATAATGAGATGTAGATGAGACCTTTGGATAACTTTTCTCTGTAAGTGGGAAAAGGCCCTGTTGGGGCAATGTTGGCTGCTGCACCATGGTCAACTGTTCCTCTAACAATGATGGGAAACAGGGTGTTTGAGAAATTGTATCTGGAGGTAGTGCTGCACCTGTTCTCTGGCTATGTCCATATACTATTCCCTTTTTGCCTACCTACCTCCATTTCAGTAATTGACTGAGACAACTGACTTACAGTTTTTTCAACTTTGCAATGGTTTAAAGTGATATGTATTCAGTAGAAACCGTATTTGGAATTTTTATCTTTTCCTTGGAATGTTGGACAGAGATAGTGAGCCATGGCTCCCACACGATCACAAGAATAAACAATCAATATTCTACAGTACACTGTGTTGCTAAGCTATGATGTTTCATAGGTTAGATGTATTAAATGAATTTTTGAATACAATATTTTCAATTTGTGGTGGCTTTGTTGTAAACTGGTGCCATCATAAGTCAAGGAGCATCTGTACATGTTTATGGCACAATAAGCACACACATATTCATGAAATGCTTTTTGAGATTTTATGTGTCTATGGATATGAGACAGAGAAGGGGAAGGGATAAATAGGATGCTCATGAAAGGACCAAGCAAATGTCCTTAGTCTCATATTGTAGCTGAAATTTGGTTTAAATTATGTTGATTTGTTTGCAAAAATTGATTTTGCCTATGACTTTGCCCTAAGTACTCAGACACCTTTAAATTCTAGCATGATTGTGTTACCATTGATAAACACATTCCATAGGCTTTACTTGGAGAGCTTCTACCTCCTTAAAAAAACTCTATAATTTATTCTTGGAGTATCAAGGAGGATTCGCATGTGTGCTCACATCATCTTCAGCTCTGTCCTTTTATTTTTTAATTTTTAAAATTATATTATGGTTGTATTAGGGTACATGATGATATTTACAAATGTTCTTAAAGTATATCACAGTTGAATTCACCCCCTCCATTATTCTCCTTTACCTTCCCCTTGTTCCATCTCTGGAATAGTTTCAACATGTCTCGTTTTTCCATTTTAATACATGAGTACATAATATTTCTACTACATTCACCCTCCCACACCCTTTCCTTATAAACTGCTAAGGGTGGTATCTCATGCCAACCCTGCTGACAGTGACCTCTGTGAGAACATGTCTACTCTGAGTAGCTGTAGTTCCTGTGGATTTCAAAGATGCCAACAGTGCCATTTCTTCTTCCTCGTGGAGCCAGAGCCAAACCACATCTATCAGTGAATAGGATCCTTGTTTCCATGGCCAGAGATTTCATTGACCAAACCTAGGATCTGCAAAGTCCCTCATGAAAACGTGCTTTTTTGCTTTCTGAGTGAAATCCATCTTTCCAGAGGGGATCAGGCATGGAAAATAATTGGGGAGAGACTTGGGGTCACTCAGGGAATTCCTGCTCTCTCCCAGCTCTTCCTTGACCTCATGAATGTCACATCATTCAGTTAGAGCTCTAGAGTGGTACTGTTCAATAGAACTTTCTGCGGTGATGGAAAGATTCTGTATCTGTGCTGTCCAATATGGTAGCCACATTTGGCTACTGAGGACTTGAAAAGTGGTTAGTGTAACCGAAGAACTGAATTTAAACATTTATTGAATTTTAATTAACTTAAATTTAAATGGACACAATGGCTAATATTGTAACTCCTGCCATTTTAAGTTTTGCATTTGATACTTAGGCCTTGCTCAAATGTAAATCAGGCTGCTGTGTGTCAACCACGATGCTCTTCTCTTCCTTTTGTGGAGACTCAGCTTAGACCCAGGTCTCTGCCTGCAAATTCCACAGCTGGTGTCTGAGTGAATGGTAAACTGAGCTGACCATTTCCATTTCTCTTTTCCAGAACGCTACAGGCCGTCCAACATTTGCTGAGCTGCTGCAGATTCTCACAGAGATTGCAGAAACCTGGTGACTTGAAATGCAATGCCAACCTGGAGTATCACTTTGCAAAACTGTCACAAGAGAAAATCATGGGTGGAATCACTAATGGGGAATATCTTCCTTTAGAGTCATAGACTCTTAGAATCAGTGCAGAGATCCCAGACTTGTTTTAAGTTTAAGAATATTCTGACCATAGTTTTTCTGCAGGTGTGAGAGGGACTACTAAACTCTTATGTTTCTGAAATGCCTTTCACATCCCATATGTGCAGAAGAGGAAAACCTTCCCAGTGACTGCTGTTCATGATAAGATCCCTGAGAACTTTTGAGGATACAAAAATCTGAGTCTTCACAAGACCAACAAAATTTCTTTCTTGAAGAGGATCGCCATTCCTTACTTCGGTAGTCTATGATTGAAGATGAACGTAGATTCTGCCAACTCATGGAATAATGGAGCCTCCACAGCAGAATTCCATGATTTGGGGTTGTGTAGATCTTTATAGAAAACACACCTTTAGGAACCACATGAATGTAACATCCTGGAAATGTCTTTTGTAACCTTTCCATATGTTATTTAACAAACTCTTTTTGTACATATCTAATTATTTTGCACACAGTTTCTTGTATTCCAGTTTTAAACACTGTAATAGGACTTAACCAAATTTCCCTTTTGAGCAGATACTGGTGTCATGTCTTTTTCCAGTGGCATTCATGCCAGATACATTTCAGTTTCTCAGATTTCACCTTTTGTATATGTGAGTCTAGACAACTTCAGAAGCCCTGTTTTGTAATAGTAGTAAGTGCCACCTGTACTTTTCTGTAAGATGACATGTTCTTTCCAAAAGACGAGGCAAAACCAAGATATCTAAATGAGACATTAAGCTATGTTATTGCTGAAGTCTAAAATTTTGAATTCATGATGAAACAACCAGCAACCTTGGTTAAATCTTACTTTCTCCTACACTGTTTACATTAATGTTTGAAAAATTGATCTTTATCATCCTGAGTGCTTCAGAAATGCCGTAAGAAGAAAGGAACTGCAGAAAGCACAATGTAATTACAATGAGGTTTAATAGTAGGAGCCTATTGTTTATGTACTATCCCACAATGCATGATGGCTAAGAGGGAATATGCTTTGTGATCTCCATTAGAGCCTAAGTTGGCAAGTACCAGAGGCTCATGACTATAATCCTAGCTACTTGGGAAGCAAGATTGAGAGGACTGAAGTTGATGGCCAGCCCAAGAAAATAGTTCCTGAGACCCCATCTCTGAAATAACCAGAACAAAATGGACTTGGAGGTGTGGCTCAAGTAGTAGAGCTCCTGCTTTGCAAGTTTGAAGCCCTGAGTTCAAACCCCATTGCATTATTAAAAAAAAAAAAGAAGAGCCTAAGCTGTTGGCACGTTTTAAATCATACTTCTCCTACTCCAAAACCGCTACTTCTAAATATCAATGACACTCAAGAATTGTGTATTACTTCTAATGAACATCAAATATAAGAAGCGACTTGACCATTCACGTGGTGTATGAGATGCTGAGCTATTTCTGAGACTGTCACAACCCGTTTTCCTGTGATGCCCATCATGGGGAAGTGACAGAAGACTCCTACTGAGGCCTCACTTCAATTAAGGCATGGAAGTCTAGTTCAAGAGGGCACAGGATTATTAACTGGCAAATGCTGAAGGACAGGAGGTTAATAATATGACGTAGAAACTAATGTAGTATCAATATATAAAGTAAGGTGCCTTTCCCAGGTTTTACTAAGCTTGGAAGTTCTTCTTCCCTTAAAAAAGAAAAAAACCTAGGGGCTGGCACAATGGCTCAAGCGGTAAGAGCACCTGCCTAACGAGCACCCTGAGTTCAAACCCCAGTGCCACCAAGAAAAAAAATAGAAGTGAAAAAGAAAAAACCTAAACCAAGACCAAACCAAAACAAGCAACCAAAACCAAACACTGAAAATCTAGCACTGACTATAGGGCATATAGAGAGGTACCGAGTACAGAGAAAAAGAGTGACACTCAGAAATAAGTCACTTGTATGTCAGCAGCTGGCACTTCTAAGATCATATATTGGTGGTGAAAGGCAAGCTCCATTCCTTTTGTTTTAACACATCAGGGAAATTTAGGATACCAGATTAGAAACAATAGTAACTGGAACTGGGTCCTAGGTAACCAAGACCTCAGATAATATGTGGATTTGAATGTCTGTGGTCTGAGATGAACATTTTGCTGTCTGACTAAAGAAAAATTTTTTGAAGAAGTAGTCATACAACTTCTCCTTGAGTGGGAACTGTCTCGCGAGTTGCAAACAAAACATGAGGTCTCTTTGGGGATTTGAGGCGAGGTAGTGCAATATTTAAACAGCTGTGAATGGAAAATTAACTGGAGGTTTAGAGATTGGCTATATATATATAGAGAGAGAGAGAGGGAGAGAGAGAGTGGAGGCTCAGAAAAATGGAAGGAATTTGGGAGGCCACCAGAAGATACGATCAGTGCAAATAACCTTTTGGCAAGAATAGCCAAAGGAATTTTTTCTTTAGTAAACATTTTACTGCAGTCTAATTCATGGTCCCACTATCACATTGGTAACATGTTTGGATTGGCAAGGAAACTCACAAGACACATTTACTCTAGCACTAAGTTTGCTTAGCTTTACAGAAGGATATAGGGCAGGAATTAGAGCGTGCACAGTCTCTGTGGAAGTCTGTCAACAATCCATGGGCATACAGTGGTGTAACTCCTTCCTTATCTGCTCAGAAAATGTGCATGTTTGATGAGGATGAGGACATGCTATGAGGTGCTCACCTTGATGCAAAGGATCTCCGTCCTTTCACACCTGTCAGGTAGGCTTACAGTACATGAGTCTCCCATCCTCATGTCGTCCAACAGATGTGGGCTTCATAATGTACACAAGTGTCTGGCCTGGTTCCCAGCATTCCAAATACAACTTTTAAAAAATTATTAGTTTACAATAGTTGTACAGGGGTAATTCATTGTGATTTTATATTTGTGCTTACAATATATCCTAATTAGATTCACCCCTCCATCATTCCCCCTCATCTTTGTATGCATACATGCATACAAAGTACATCTACCATATTTGCCCTTCTTCACCCTCTCTATTTAACTTTTCCCTCCCTCTGCCACTCTCCCTGCACAAGACCTGTTTTACTTTCCTGTTCTTCATTTTTTTTAAGTGTATATTCTTTGTTCAAGGGGGTTCCATAGAACTGGTGCTGGGAGAAAGCAAACCTATAATCTTCTCAGGAAGGCCTAAGTCTGGGTGAAAAAGGTTTTGGGCTTGCTGTGTTAATCCTCGTCTCATTCACACTGCCTACTTTAAAAAAGAAAAATTTAAACAGGCAGTCACACAACTTCTCTTGTATTGGAACTGTATTTCGCAGGCTAGTCTTTTTTTTTTCTTTTATTATTCATATGTGCATACAAGGCTTGGTTCATTTCTCCCCCCTGCCCCCACCCCCTCCCTTACCACCCACTCCGCCCCCTCCCTCTCCCCCCCTCAATACCCAGCAGAAACTATTTTGCCCTTATCTCTAATTTTGTTGTAGAGAGAGTATAAGCAATAATAGGAAGGAACAAGGGTTTTTGCTGGTTGAGATAAGGATAGCTATACAGGGCATTGACTCACATTGATTTCCTGTGCGTGGGTGTTACCTTCTAGGTTAATTCTTTTTGATCTAACCTTTTCTCTAGTACCTGTTCCCCTTTTCCTATTGGCCTCAGTTGCTTTAAGGTATCTGCTTTAGTTTCTCTGCGTTAAGGGCAACAAATGCTAGCTAGTTTTTTAGGTGTCTTACCTATCCTCATCCCTCCCTTGTGTGCTCTCGCTTTTATCATGTGCTCATAGTCCAATCCCCTTGTTGTGTTTGCCCTTGATCTAATGTCCACATATGAGGGAGAACATACGATTTTTGGTCTTTTGGCCAGGCTAACCTCACTCAGAATGATGTTCTCCAATTCCATCCATTTACCAGCGAATGATAACATTTCGTTCTTCTTCATGGCTGCATAAAATTCCATTGTGTATAGATACCACATTTTCTTAATCCATTCGTCAGTGCTGGGGCATCTTGGCTGTTTCCATAACTTGGCTATTGTGAATAGTGCCGCAATAAACATGGATGTGCAGGTGCCTCTGGAGTAACAGTCTTTTGGGTATATCCCCAAGAGTGGTATTGCTGGATCAAATGGTAGATCGATGTCCAGCTTTTTAAGTAGCCTCCAAATTTTTTTCCAGAGTGGTTGTACTAGTCTACATTCCCACCAACAGTGTAAGAGGGTTCCTTTTTCCCCGCATCCTCGCCAACACCTGTTGTTGGTGGTGTTGCTGATGATGGCTATTCTAACAGGGGTGAGGTGGAATCTTAGTGTGGTTTTAATTTGCATTTCCTTTATTGCTAGAGATGGTGAGCATTTTTTCATGTGTTTTCTGGCCATTTGAATTTCTTCTTTTGAGAAAGTTCTGTTTAGTTCACTTGCCCATTTCTTTATTGGTTCATTAGTTTTGGGAGAATTTAGTTTTTTAAGTTCCCTATATTCTGGTTATCAGTCCTTTGTCTGATGTATAGTTGGCAAATATTTTCTCCCACTCTGTGGGTGTTCTCTTCAGTTTAGAGACCATTTCTTTTGATGAACAGAAGCTTTTTAGTTTTATGAGGTCCCATTTATCTATGCTATCTCTTAGTTGCTGTGCTGCTGGGGTTTCATTGAGAAAGTTCTTACCTATACCTACTAACTCCAGAGTATTTCCTACTCTTTCTTGTATCAACTTAGAGTTTGGGTCTGATATTAAGATCCTTGATCCATTTTGAGTTAATCTTGGTATAGGGTGATATACATGGATCTAGTTTCAGTTTTTTGCAGACTGCTAACCAGTTTTCCCAGCAGTTTTTGTTGAAGAGGCTGCTATTTCTCCATCGTATATTTTTAGCTCCTTTGTCAAAGATAAGTTGTTATAGTTGTGTGGCTTCATATCTGGTCCTCTATTCTGTTCCACTGGTCTTCATGTCTGTTTTTGTGCCAGTACCATGCTGTTTTTATTGTTATTGCTTTGTAATATAGTTTGAAGTCAGGTATTGTGATACCTCCTGCATTGTTCTTTTGACTGAGTATTGCCTTGGCTATTCGTGGCCTCTTGTGTTTCCATATAAATTTAACAGTAGATTTTTCAATCTCTTTAATGAATGTCATTGGAATTTTGATGGGAATTGCATTAAACATGTAGATTACTTTTGGGAGTATAGACATTTTTACTATGTTGATTCTACCAATCCATGAGCATGGGAGATCTCTCCACTTTCTATAGTCTTCCTCAATCTCTTTCTTCAGAAGTGTATAGTTTTCCTTGTAGAGGTCTTTCACATCTTTTGTTAGGTTTACACCTAGGTATTTGATTTTTTTGAGGCTATTGTAAATGGAATTGTTTTCATACATTCTTTTTCGTTTGCTCATTGTTAGTGTATAGAAATGCTAATGATTTTTCTATGTTGATTTTATATCCTGCTACCTTGCTATAGCTATTGATGATGTCTAGAAGCTTCTGAGTAGAGTTTTTTGGGTCTTTAAGGTATAGGATCATGTCGTCTGCAAATAGGGATATTTTGACAGTTTCTTTACCTATTTGTATTCCTTTTATTCCTTCTTCTTGCCTAATTGCTCTGGCTAGGAATTCCAGTACTATGTTGAATAGGAGTGGAGATAGTGGGCATCCTTGTCTGGTTCCTGATTTTAGAGGGAATGGTTTTAGTTTTCTCCGTTAAGTATAATGCTGGCTGTAGGTTTGTCATATATAGCTTTTATAATGTTGAGGAACTTTCCTTCTATTCCTAGTTTTCTTAGAGCTTTTATCATGAAATGATGTTGGATCTTATCAAAGGCTTTTTCTGCATCTATTGAGATGATCAAGTGGTTTTTGTCTTTGCTTCTGTTAATGTGGTTTATTACGTTTATTGATTTTCGTATGTTGAACCACCCCTGCATCCCTGGGATGAAGCCTACTTGGTCGTGGTGAATAATCTTTTTGATGTGTTGCTGAATTCGTTTGCCATTATTTTGTTGAGGATTTTTGCATCAATGTTCATTAAGGAGATTGGCCTATAGTTCTCCTTTTTGGAGGTGTCTTTGCCTGGTTTTGGGATAAGTGTAATACTGGCTTCATAAAAATGTGTGTTGGCAGTTTTCCTTCCCTTTCTATTTCGTGGAACAGTTTAAGGAGGGTTGGTATCAGTTCTTCTTTAAAGGTCTGATAGAATTCAGCAGAGAATCCATCAGGTCCTGGACTTTTCTTTTTGGGGAGACTCTTGATTGCTGCTTCAATTTCATTTTGTGTTATAGGTCTATTCAGGTGATTAATTTCCTCTTGGTTCAGTTTTGGATGATCATATGTATCTAGAAATCTGTCCATTTCTTTTAGATTTTCAAATTTATTTGAATATAGGTTCTCAAAGTAGTCTCTGATGATTTCCTGGACTTCCATGGTGTTTGTTGTTATCTCCCCTTTTGCATTCCTAATTCTACTAATTTGGGTTTTTTCTCTCCTCATTTTAGTCAGGTTTGCCAGGGGTCTATCGATCTTGTTTATTTTTTCAAAGAACCAACTTTTTGTTTCATTAATTCTTTGTATGGTTTTT